TTTTGTTTTGTTTTGTTTTGTTTTGTTTTGTTTTGTTTTGTTTTGTTTTGTTTTGACAGATGAGCCTGTAGTTTACCTATTTATATATTCTAGACCCTTACCTGCTCACTTCCTTCAGGAGTGGTTTCTAAGAATTTCTGAGGGTTTTTTTGTTTTGTTTTAACCAAAACACCAAGTTTGGATGACCTTGTGAAAATTGGGACATTTTCTTGTCTACAGTCCTCCTCTTCAATTCACTTAATCTTTCAAAAATTATTTCCTAGCTTATCATGTCTGCAAATATTTTCAGTTCTTTGAAATATATTTATGCCTGGAGACTTGAATGCCTTGTACTGAGTAGAGAATTTCACTTCTAAGTTCCCCCCCAAAAGAGCTCTCTCAAATGTCTCCTGAATCATGGATTTCAGCTAACTTATTAATGTTTATGCTACCCTTTTTAGTTTGAAAATTGTTATCTTGGAGAACAGAAAAGCAAAAATATGGGTTTTAAGTATTCAATCTTTCTCCTGCCCCCAGGTAACATTATAACATTTTTACTAAGCATTTCTCTGCTCTTTATTATCTGCCATTAGCATTCATTAAATGTTTTCCCTGTGCAAACCCTTCTTCTTAGCACTTTTCATGTTGTCTCATTTAATTCTTGTTACCTCCTCATGATTAACCTTATTTAAATTTGAGGAAACTGGGGCAGAAAGGGGTTAAGTAACTTGCCCATGGTCACACAGCTAGTGAGTAGTAGAGCTAGATTATGAACCTAGACAGTCTGACTCAAATACCAGTTCTTCAGGTCTACACCACACTGCCTCTCATTTGTTATGTGAAGTCAGTGCAGTGGACAATAAGGCAGTGGTTCTAAGCCCTGGCTGAACATCAGACTCCCCGTGGAGTTGTGTTTTTTGTTTTTTTAAGTTTATTTTGAGAAAGAGAGTGTAGGGGAGGGGCAGAGAGAGGGAGAGAGAGAATCCCAAGCCAGTTCCATATTATCAGCTCAGAGCCCCATGGGGGCTCGAACTCACAAACTGAGATCATGACCTGAGCCGAAATCAAGAGTCAGACGCTCAGCTGACTGAGTCACCCAGGTGCCCCAGAGCTTTTTTTTTTTTAAACCAACTATTGAGGTGTAATTTACATACTATAAAATTCCTGTCTTATGTGTACAATTTGACGATTTTTAGTAAATTTAATGGGTTGTGCAACCATAACTACAATCCAGTTTGGGGGCATTTCCATCATCCTGTGGAGCTTTTTAGTGTTCATATTCTTGAGTCCCACACTAGACCCACAGCCTGAGTGGAGTCAGTGCTCCACTGGCTTTGCAGCCCTGGACTCTTAACTTTGGCAATAATGTGAAGATTATGCATTCAGTGCGTGCATCTAGGGCCCCTCCACCCCCACTCTGTGATGCACCTTCTGATCTGTCCCCAGGCATCTCCACACATAGCTTCAGGCAGGCAGTGCTCAGCCTTGCGCAGGTCCCGTCCCCGCTCCAGGTATATGTTTGCTTCAGGCCCCTTGCCTTCATGTATGTTTATCCTATCCGGACTCTCTACCTCCTCTTGTGGCCTGTTCATTTTCTAGAGGAGAGCTCAAGTACCTTTTTTGTTCTTTACAAAACCTTCTCTTGCTACTCTGTTGCATCTGCAGGGAACGGCCACGCTTTTGCATCCCTGCCCTGCCATTGCCCTATGTGCTATGGAGCCCTACTTCATCAGATTGTAAGATCTGGTGGGTGGGACTTAATGTTACAACTGTTTTGTTCCCTACTGTTGAACACAGAACTAGGACACATCAGAATGGATTGTGGTGATGGTTACACAGCTTTCTATGTTTATTTAAAAAGTATCGAATTCACACACAGTTGGGTAGTTTTGTGGTATTTATGTTATACCTCAATAAAGTTGGTAAAGGGGCACTTGGGTGTCTCAGTCAGTTAAGTGTCTGACTTCGGCTCAGGTCATGATCTCACGGTTCCTGAGTTCGAGCCCCACGTTAGGCTCTGTGCTGACAGTTCAGAGCCTGAAGCCTGCTTTAGATTCTGTGCCTCCCTCTTTCTCTGCCCCACTCCTGTTTGCACTGTGTCTCTCCAAAATGAATACACATTAAAAAAAAATTTTTTTTTAAATACAGTTGGTAAAAAGCTCCACAGGTGAGTCTTATACTCACCTTGCTTTGATACATTACTTAATTTTGAACATCTGGATGCAGAATTTGGCATATCATATTAAATATGTTTCTCTCTCTTTACAGGAGTCTTACGGCCCCTGAATATTTTGGTGTCTTCAGCCTGTCAAAACGGTGTCAAGAATGCCTGTCTTAGTTCTGCACTGTCCACCCGGCATTTTAGTTCTCTGCAGACACCAGTTGTTGCCTCTGCTCCCAGACTTGCCACGTCTGTCAGAAACCTGACGTGTGGACATACTGCAGCAATCCTCAATAGGTAGAGTATATTTCAGTAAACATGATGCTGAGACAAAAATTCTGAAATACTCATGCCTGCAAAGATGTTTTAGAAGCAGACTTCTAATATCTAGAAGCAGACTTATTATATAGACTTTGCCTGGTGGAGGGGAGAATATGATTGATAGCCATGTGCCTACCTGCCTGACAGAGCACACTTCTGATGTTCTAGATATGGTTTCCTGGATGGAAGCTGTCAGCCAAAGCGGAGGGTGAACGAGATGCTCATCAGGCAAGACTGCTATCCATTTAGTCAACAAATACTTAGTTAAGGACTCCTGGGTACCCAGCACTTGGCAGAAAGGATACGAAGATAAAGTGAAGTCCTCAAGGAGTTAGAGATAACTCTGAATAGATAAGAAGTCAGATGATTAAAATATAATAGGATAAATTCTCTCATGGGGATTGAGGGGGCAGATTATGGAAGGCTTGCATGTTGGCGATGGTTGTTATTCTTATTTATACTTAGTGTCCAGGATCATTTGAAGTAACAATGTATATTAAAGTCAGCTGTGGGGCGCCTGGGTGGCACATTCGGTTCAGCGTCCGACTTCAGCCAGGTCACGATCTTGCGGTCCGTGAGTTCGAGCCCCGTGTCAGGCTCTGGGCTGATGGCTCAGAGCCTGGAGCCTGTTTCCGATTCTGTGTCTCCCTCTCTCTATGCCCCTCCCCCGTTCATGCTCTGTCTCTCTCTGTCCCAAAAATAAATAAACGTTGAAAAAAAAAATTAAAAAAAAAAAAAATAAAGTCAGCTGTATTCCAGTGGAGCTGCTCCACTCATTTTTTTTTTTAAGTTTATTTACTTTGAACTAAAAAAAATTTTTTTAGTGTTTATTTTGACAGAGAGACAGCAAGCAGGGGAGGGACAGAGAGAGAGGGAGACACAGAATCCGAAGCAGGCTGCAGGCTCTGAGCTGTCAGCACAGAGCTGGACGTGGGGCTTGAACTCATGAACTGTAAGATCATGACCTGAGCCGAAGTCAGATGCTTAACTGACTGAGCCACCCAGGCACACCTTTAAGTTTATTTATTTTGGGATAGAGAGAGGGAGTCCCAAGCAGGCTCCACACTGTCAGTGCAGAGTCTTGACGAGGGGCTTGAATCATGAACTGTGAGATCATGGCCTGAGCTGAAATCAAGGGTCGGATGCTTAACCGACTGAGCCACCCAAGCGCCCCCACTCATTTCTAAGTATAGAAATGGATTTTATCCTTTAATGAGTCTTATTGCTGAGTTATATTTTTAAAAATATATTTTAGAGCGGCCCCCTTGCTTCCAAATGTCCTGAAGCTACCAGTCAGAACCGTAACATACTTCAGTTCACGGAAAGGGAAGAGAAAGACTGTGAAAGCTGTCATCTACAGGTTTCTTCGACTTCATTCTGGCCTGTGGCTAAGGAGGAAGGTGAGTCTTCACACTATTAGATTGAAAAAGGATTGGGAGGAGATTAAAAAGAAGCAGAATTCAGTGAGCCTATTCACTGATGTACCTTCCTTTCATTTACCAGCAGCTTTTACAGTGCTGTGCTTAAGTACCAATTTCGCAGGCATCTCTTTTTTTTTTTGTTTTTAATTTTTTTTTTTCAACGTTTATTTATTTTTGGGACAGAGAGAGACAGAGCATGAACGGGGGAGAGGCAGAGAGAGAGGGAGACAGAGAATCGGAAACAGGCTCCAGGCTCTGAGCCATCAGTCCAGAGCCTGACGCGGGGCTCGAACTCACGGACCGCAAGATCGTGACCTGGCTGAAGTCGGACGCTTAACCGACTGCGCCACCCAGGCGCCCCTCGCAGGCATCTCTTAATGTAAATGAATTCATGTGAAGAAAACACATTTAAGCATGTATAAAACAAAACACTCTTCACAATAGCTAACGTCTTCACTGTAGGATGGGTCCATCTCAGGTCTTTTATATGTCTGTGCATCTAATGATCACCAGAAGCCCTTTGAAACCCCCAATGTGTAATAACCTGTGGGGAAGCTCTGTTTAAGCCTAGAGTGTTAGAGCAACAGAGTTGCCTTCAACAAGGACTTAGTCTCATGGCTCAGATTGGGGACTGAAGAGCTTTCAGCCAATTTTGGATTGGATTCTCTGTGGCTTAGTCTTTATGACAGAACATTGACCCCACGTGAGCTTTTTTTAACTTTATGTTTTTCTGTCTGTTGGTATGTATGATTGGGCTCCATATCAGACAGAACCCTAACACTTACTCTGACCTGGGACCATAGCCTGTGAGGGGGAATTCTGACAAATTCTTACTGCTCTGTCCTCTCTCACAGCATGTCATAAGCGTGAATGTGGGCTTTTTCGTTCACATCTTTATTCACGGAAACAGAGTAGCTGATGATTAGAAAGCAGTTGAAGACTAGAGCTTTGTAAAACTACCTTTGAGTTTTAATAACTATTCAGATTCTAATTCCTTTTCACTACTTGGAAGTTAATGAATGATTCTTAAAGATCGAAATTTGTTTCTCCATAAAAATAAAATACTTAATTGGTGGGATTTTCACTAGTTGAAAGGTTGAAAGGATTATCTCCTATTATATAAATAATCCTAAATTTATAGGTAAATATGTTGATTGGAACTCTCCACTCATTCCTCCTTTGGAACAATACCGTGGTAGTTCCTTTGCTACACTTGTAATTAGAAGCTCATGTAATCTGTAAGTAGCCAAACTAAATAAATTTAGTTCAGTTAATAGTTCTGAGTTTTGTGAATTTTGGACCATTGGAAAATTTCCTCCCCTTTGTTGTCATATTGATTATAACCAGGTCTTCATCTAGCCCTAGATAAAAGAAGATGGGTGGTTTTCTTTGCCTTCCTTTCTATGCCCCTTTTATTGGGCTCTGAAACCATCATGTTATCGTAAAGGACCTGATCACATTCTCTCATCATAATGCCTAGTCCCCACTCAAGGTCCCAAAAGTTATTCTGTATGCAGAATGGCCTGCTTCACCAAAATGCAATTTTTTAGGGGAAAACAAGAAAGCTGGATGGGTTAATTTATATTCATGTTTAAAAACTGAAAATACTTTCTGCAGCACAGTTTTATTTCCTCTCATTTCTGAACCTAGACATTGTCTGAAAAGTTTCAAGCACTTTCACAGTGGTTGCATTCCATAGAATAATGATCAAAGATACTCATGGTAATAGGACAAAAAATTAACTGTCTGTAAGTCAGAAATCCACAGGGACCCAGCTTGGCTTACAAACTAGAAAATTATTACACAAATAGGGGGATTTGGATTTGAATCTTCCATTGAAATTGTAAGCACTGAGTAGTAAAAATCTAATCTCTGGCATTTTAAAATCAGAACTCTTAAGTACTGTTTTCTTATTTCTGAGTATTAACTGTACTGTAGAAGTTGCTGGTCAGAGTGATGATATCAAGACATGTCAGAAACCCAAGATGATTTCTCAGCCCAGGGCTAAGGTTTTGTTCAGTTAGTGTAGTGCCCTAAAGAGTAAAGAGCCCTTGGCTTGAAAGGACTCTTAGCAAAAGCTTGAGTTCTAGTCTCCCGTCCCCACTCACTTTCTGTGTGGTTTTAGCCACGTATTAACCTGGGTGGCACCTAAAGTCTCTTCTGGTCTAAACAGACTATCCTTGTAGTTTTTACATTCAATCAAATCTAATTTTTCTACAAAAATTAATTATTTTCTTTCAAAATTAATAATGCTTGGATGCTGTATCTGGCAGTTCTGAGTTAAACACACAGGCTAACACCACTCCCAATAGCAATTTTATTGTATTCGGTATTCCTTAGAAAAGTACTTACACTACAGAAATCAGTCCCTGCTGTGAAAGGAGGAAATGAAGCTATACATTTAGGTGCTGTGCTCATCGGCCCTTGTAATACCTAGTCCCCTTAAATGAACATAAATCTTATCAGCCTAGCCAGTGATGTCCTTCCTCAGCCTTACACTGGGAAAAATAGTAGAGTAGTGGTTAAGAACTCTTACTAGTTCCATGACCTCAGTTGGCTACTTTACTTCTATAACCAGTGGTGGTTTTTCTTGAATCTGTAAAATGAGAATAATGGTATGTTGTTGAAGAGATCATAAGGTAATGCATATAAAGTTAGCGATTATAATTATACATCATTACCCTGTACTTTCCCCACCACAAAGATTCATCAAAGTATTAAATTACTAATATTTCTTTTTCAAACTGCATATACTTTTTCTGTATCTCCCCCTCATTGAGAATCACATCTTTCTGAAAAACATTACCAGCCCCAATGAAAGTCTCATCCTTGTTCTCATTGGGCCTATAAACCATGAATAGTGAAGATATCTGTTGTTTCCTACATAACGTCTTGTTTTAAATGTCTTTATAATATTATCTCACAGGCTGGTTATAAGAAAAAATTATGGAAAAAGACGACTGCAAGAAAAAGGCGCTTGAGGGAATTCGTGTTCTGCAATAAAACCCAGAGTAAGCTCTTAGATAAAATGACAACGTCTTTTTGGAAGAGGCGAAACTGGTATGCTGACGATCCTTATCAGAAGTATCATGATCGGACAAACCTGAAAGTCTAGATCAGAAGTTTTAGGACTTCCCAGTTACTGAATATGTATCTTTGTGTAAATGATGTCTTTGCAAGAATGAGTAAGTGTAAAACTTGATGTAAATTGTGCCAATTGGTATGGAAACATACAGTTCCAACATTAAACTTATTAAAGTTTTAAAACTTAATGGATTAAACATTTCAAAATTTGTTCAGGGAAATGAGAGTTTAAAATTGTTGATTATTTTTAACAAATGGTAATGGCTTAACTATTTCCACTTAGGCTTATCTAGTTGCAAGGAATTTGAAGTTAGAGCAGGCATAAGAAGACTGAAAGCCAACAAGTTACCTCAAGCAGTGTGACATTATTTGAAGGATGTGTGCCTGGGAACTCAGGAACCGTCTCACCAGCTCCATCCCCCTCCCAGAAATAACCCCCAGGTCTCAGGAACGAACAGAAATTGTAGGGTGTTCCAAGATCCAAGGCACCTCTAAGGGCCTCAGGAGCAAAAGATGCTAGATTTTTAGGGTCGGGGGTCTGCCATGCATGTGACTCAGTTTCTGCCCCCATCATAATCCTAGCTCATACCTTTCGGGTTGTTTTCTGCATCCTAACCCTCAGCTCCCATCTCCAGGCTCCAGTTGCCAAGAGTCTCTAACTGGGCCAGCTTATCTCTTTACACCAGGTCTTCTCAGGGGTCATTGACCGGTGTCAGGAGCCCACCCTGCCTCAGTTGGTTGTGTTAGCAGGTTCACATGGAGCAGTTTCGCTTAGAGGTGAGCTTGGGGTTGTAGCACACATCTAGTATGCTAGGCTTATTGGTTCATAACAGTTCTCAGTTTATTGGAACAGGATTTTTATAGGGAGAAGAGTAAATCAAACAGCCTTTCTGTATGCCCATTCATGAAACAGAAGAGGCTTTACACGTGAGGACAAAAACGTCTTATTCAAGAGTTGAAAGGTACTGTATTTTCTAAAAGATGACTTATCTACCAGAGATTTCATGTTTTTAATTGTGAGGATAAACATTTTCCAAAGGCACATTGTAGACACTAAGCAAGAGTTAAGCATTGTTCATTTGAAGAGGGCTGGGTAAGAGGCATTAAGGAAAATTCTCTTCACCATGTGGTTAAAGCTAGGGCAGTGGTTCTGAGCTGTCCCATCAGAGTCATCTGGGAAGCATTTTCCAACAAGAGAGCACTTGGCCTGGTTGAAAAACCACTGTAGATCTTAACCAACTTACGATGGGGTTACACCCCAGTAAACCTATTGTAAATTGGAAATATTGTTAAGTCAAAAACGCATTTAATACACCTAAGCTACCAAACATCGTAGCTTGGCCTAACCTACCTTACATGTGCTCAGAATACTTGCATTAGCTTACAGTTGAGCAAAATCATCTAACACAAAGCCTATTTTATACTGAAGTGTTGACTGTCTTGTGTTTATTGAATTCTGTACCAAAAGTGAAAAACAGAAAGGTTGTGTGTGGGTGAGGATGGTTGTAAGTCTATCCGTTGTTTACCCTTCTGATCACGTGGCTGACTGGGAGCCTCGGCTCGTTCCCACTGCCCAGCATCACGAGAGAATATCTTACCACATATCACTAGGCCAGGAAAAGATCAAAATCAGAATTTTTAAAAGTACGGTTTCTACTGAATGTGTGTTGTTTCACACCATCATAAAGTTGAAAAACCTAAGACCGTCGTGAGTCACGGACTGTGTCTATTAATTAGAATTCTGCCTCAATTACTATTTCAAATCCTTTAATAGTTGATGATAAGATGAAGTTTCTCTATTGTTAATAGAATAAGGTTAAAGATAACCAAGTTGAAATTCTGTGGCAAGTCAGGAGAGGAACTTCTTGAAACCAGTGCATGTTCCTTAAAAGGAAGAGGGGTGACAATAGAGTGTTCCAAAACTAGAAGGCCACCTGTATGTCTGTTTATGTGACCAATTAATAAAGAGCAGACATTTGATTGGAGATGAGGTAAGACTGCAGCATGCAGTGGCATTCTGTTTTGATGGGTTTTCATTTTCTTGTAACTTCTGAGATGGCAGAATCTAAGCACTTCAAGGTTTCCACATCACTTCTTACCCATCCAGCTCCTGCCTCCACTCACCCCTGGTAGCAGGATGGAACTGGTACCTGAAGAAGTTGAGGAGGAGGCCACTTTCCCACTGCCTCTGTGACTTCGCTAGTACAAATACAGACAACAAAGCTCTCAGTTATAGGGGCCTCAGAGCACCTTGGTTTTTCCCGTAGACCCAGGGTAGGAGGGGTAGAGACCAGAACCAGCAACCAGACCTCAGCATCCAGACACGGATTGAGGTGTAAGGGCTGCCACACATGTGATTTCGGAGAAAGGGAATTTTCGTGTATATGACTTTTGTTTTATGGGTAGCAGGGCTTATCATCCACACTGATTTTATACTCTGACAACCAAACATCTTTCATTAAAGAGCCTACTGAAATGGCACCGAACTTTATGTGAAGGTATAATTTATTGAATACCAACTGCATTCCAGCATAGGGATGGGCATATACATACAAAACTGAATCCTCATTCCAACTTTGCAGGGGAGGTTTTTTCTTTAAGTTTATTTATTTTTTTAGTAATCTCTGCACCTGTTGTGGGACTAGAACCCACGACCATCAGATCAAGAGTCTCACACTCTTCCAACTGAGCCAGCCAGGTGACCAAGGGAGATACTTTTTAATCCCTGGTTTAGATTTGAGGAAACTCCAGCTTATAGAAGGTTAAATAAATTACCCAAAATACAGCTAATAAGTCACAGAACCTAGGTCTAACTTCCTGGAATCCTATGCATTTCCTGGAGTCTTTTAACGTGAAAATTCATATCTAAATTAAGTGACTGTGACCTAGTAGTATAAATACTAAATACTTATTCATGACACTGTACCAAGTCAGCCTTTGCTTTTCTGTTATTTGTCAGTTCTTCACCTGGTTAATCTCAGTTCTGTTGCCATTGGACTTGGCTCAATAAATGAATAAATGAATGGAGTTTTAGCCTTTCTTTCCACCTCTTTGTCTTCCTTTCAGCCTTCTGAATGTGGTCCTTTATCTGCTGCTGCTTACTTTTATAGCCCTCATGCCAACCATACAGCATGTAAGACTATAAAGGCAAAGAAAATGAGTGTTGCATTTTGATGCTTCAAATTTTGTGTTCAAGTCTTTGTGACCACCCAGTAAAGCTTATATGTGCCTGTTCATATTTTTTTTAAATGTTTATTTTGAGAGAGAGAAAACATGTGCACTTGCCTGTGTGAGCGGGGGAGGGGGAGAGGGAGAGATGGGGAGAGAGAATCCCAAGCAGGCTCTATGCTGTCATCACAGAGCCTGACGTGGGGCTCGAACCCACGAACTGTGAGATCATGATCTGAGCCGAAATCAAGAGTTGAACGCTTAACCAACTGAGCCATCCAGGCACCCTGTTCATATTTTTAAGTAAACTTTGCACCCAGCATGGGGCCCAAACTCAGGACCCCAGGATCAAGAGTCCTATGTTCTACCGACTGAGCCAGCCAGGTACTCCGCCTGTTCCTTTTTTTTTTTTTTTTTTTTTTTTTTTAAGATTTTTAAAAATGGTTTGTTTTTGAGAGAGGGAGAATACAAGTTGGGGAACGGCAGAGAGAGGGAGACAGAGGATCCAAAGTGGGCTCTGCACTGACAGTGGAGAGCCTAATGTGGGGCTCAAACTCGTGAACTGTGAGATCATGACCTGGGCTGAAATCAAGAGTTGGATGCTTAACCAAGTGAGCCCCCCAGGTGCCCCAGCCTGTTCATATTTTAAAGACAAGGGCTGCAGCAGTATTAAGAGCACCCACGTCACTCAGTGCTCCTCTGCACACTCTACCCTCTTCTGACCTGCACATGTACTCCCTCACTTGCAGGCGAGGGAACAGGTACCAAGAAGGAAAACGATAGACCAAATTTCTGCTTTTGCACAATTAAAACTCTTTACCAGATGAGCTGCTGTATTTTCATAGCCACACAGATTCCACTAGTGACTTTTAAAAATGTAAAACATACTACCAGGTTTATATTTACATGATCAACTGTATTTCAAAACACCCATTTTAATTGTTTTCCCACCACAATTCTATGCAGTAGGCATGGGGCCAAGGCACCGGACCAGTTAATGACTGAGCACTCAGCTTCTAAATCCTTGCTACCTTCCACATTTTAAAAAAGTATTTTCCCTTTCTGGGGCTCCTGGGTGCCTCTGTTGGTTAAGCGTCCCAACTCTTGATTTTGGCTCAGGCCGTGATCTCACGATGATGGGATCAAGCCCCATGTTGGGCTCTGCGCTGAGCATGGAAACTGCTTGGAGATTCTCTCTCTCCCTCTCTCCCTGCCCCTCCCCCCACTCAAGCTTTCTCTCTTTCAAAAAAAATAAAAATAAAAATAAACATTCTAAAGTATTTTCTCTTTCCTCATAAGCTCGACATTACAAAGATGTTTTTTAAAAGAAAAACGTTAAGACTTTATTCAAGGTATATATCAGGCATTGTAACAAAACAGCAGAACTTCAACCTTTGGAATACTGTAATTTTACATCCCTTTGATGCACAGTCCAGTATACTATTTTATCACAGATCATTCTATAGGGACTACAGGAATAAACTAGGGAAACTGCACAGTCACAACCGAGAACGTCAGCTCTTTGAGTGTGTGCCGTTTGAGAATGAAGCACATCCTTTGCCGTTTCAAATACTGTGCAAGGCGAGGACTAGGAAGATACTCAGCTGTGGTCATGGTGGACAAGCACTGTTATCACAAACACACGGACAGTTTACACACATTTCAGAGGCCAGTGAATTGAGCAAGCTATTCACACAAAGCCAGGAGGGATTATGACTCCACTTCCTAGTGTATAAGTACACCACCCCATCTTACCTCCTCAGAAACAGAACAGGTGCTCAACGGCAAATAACTAAAAGTTATTACATGAAAATTACAGACTTTCAAGCTAGCATTTTGTAAACAGCCTATGTCTGTAAATCAGGAAATTAAAAACGTTCAGTTATATCCTCTAGACAGAACACCACAGCACTACATGTACACTTGGAGGCATTCACATTTTATGTCAGTCCATACACAAATATACAGCTTGTTGGATAAGTAAACACATTTTGCCAGAAATATGACAGCTGCTCTCATTTGTACAGTGAGTGTTTTTAAGAGAGAAACCAACTCCCTAATCAACACTTGAAGGAAAAATAGTTACATTTACATTAAGACAGCAGTTTGGATACCTTTAAATTTTTTAAATCTTGAATGAGCAGTAATACAGCATGTCTGAGAGTAGAGTGCTTCAAACTTGTTTTTGGCATAGTTGAGTGCAAACTTGATAGCTTGTACTTGTTAAAACTTTACATTGTAAAATGGTGAAAATATAGTTGGTTCACGAAGGATCTCTGCTGCTAAAGGCATTTATTATTTTGGCAAAGAAAAGAAAAAAACACTGCTAAAAAGCTGCTTAAGCTGTTTCTGATAATTCTGGGTACTCCCAACTAACAGGTAAATACATTTAAAGCATATATTTTTCCTCTGAAACTATTCAGTGAGCTTTAAGAAATTAGATTTTCTGTCTTCCCTAATGGGTTTAGGGATTGTTGGGTGTGGGGGAAAGATCATAAAGAGCCTATGTTTGCTCTCTGAACCACAAATTTGCTTTTAGGTTTGTTTTCCTAAATCCCATTGTAAATTACAAACTCACCTTCAGAGGAATTGTGGGAAGAAGGGATTTAAATGTGCATATCTGGCAACAATCAACTTCAGGTAAAACCCTTTCTCGGGTGGCTAAGATCCAGCCAGTGTGCCATCAGCAAAGACTACTGATATATGTTGGTGTATGTAGCTCAGTAATGAGACGGTCTTTAACTGGGCCTGTTTATAGCCGGTTGACAGCAAGTTCTATGTGGTACATAACACTAATTCTCTAGTCTTCAGGGCATATCTATGAACAAACACAATCCAAGTATTATAAGTGACTGGTTTGTGACCACTGCATGCATTACACTGAAAGAAAACACCAACTCTAAGCACAAATATACAAGTCCTACATTTTAGGCTCAGCTCTCCAAGGGGGTGGGGAGCAGCTACCTCGGACTGAAATGCTATGTAAACCAGATTCTTCTTTTCAGATAAAGTTCTCAGTCTAAGTAGAGAGTCCCTTTAGCTAGTGCTCTATTATACTAAGCGATCTCGGCTTGCATAAGACGTCTGGTAAGACGCGGAGTGCCCATGAGTGCAATTTCTCTCGTTCACATTCTGCACAAGCCGGGAAGGGTGTGAGCCACAGCTGCCCAGGGAGCTGAGCAGCAAGTCAGTCCATAAAGATCTCAACCTCTGAAACCTTTCTAGAACCCAGCATTTTGACAGGTGTCTCAGACGTATTTGACAACATATCTGAAACATAGTTTTAGGTTTGTTTTGGGTTGATTGGTCGGTTTCTGCTTACTGTTCTCTTGATCAAGTGCTCAGATTATAGGCTCCTCTACCTGGGGAAATAAGTCACAGAACTGGTTACTATGAAGGAGAAACAATCATTTGTCAAGCACTGATGGAACACTCAAAATGATTCCTCAAAACAGCCCTGTGAGTTCACATCCCCAGGAGGTTTTACCAAAGGTGAGCCACCTGCCTAAGCCATTGGTACATCCCTTGACAAAATTCAGAAGCTCTTAACCCAGAATCCAGGGGGAGACAAGCTTCTTGTGACCTCTCTTATTCTGGACTGTTCCCCTGGCCTCATTACACTCGTGTCTGTCATTACAATATTGTCTCTTCATTCTAAACGTCTCTGGTCTATTGACTTAACATCTATCTGAAGAATATGGACCATCGTCCTACAGGAAAAGGGCTGTTTTACTGGAGTTGTATTTGGAAGCTTTATAAGCACATCTGAGACATTCTCTAGAATCAAAATAATTTTTTACATATCTCGTAGTTCTCTTACATATCAGAACCTCTGGCAGCCCTTGCGAGTCCATTACATTAAGCCAAAAGCCATAAATATGTACACCGTAGTCCAAAGTATTAGTACCAAGAACAAAAAAAGTTTAAAAAAATTGCTTTGTTTGCATTTACAGGACTAAAAACGAAGTATGCAACAAATAAATTACAAATGTACATCTCAGCAGTGTGAGGGTGATCTCTTATATTTCTAAAACCACACTGCTGACAATCCAATTGCAGAAAATTACTAACCTCAAGACTTAAAGGTCACACCCCCCCCACACACACACAAGCTACCTTTCCCTTTAGCCTCTCCCCAGCAAAATAAAGAAAAGGAAAATAAAAATCTTAAAAGTGTAAGAGGAGAGAGAGAAAAGGCTGTGTCTGTGAGGCTGCACACTCAAAGCACGCCAGCTTGCGGATTTCTATGTTATTAGTGACTAGCTCTTTAAGGCAGAGAAGAAACATTCTGTGGGTCCGGTGCTGTTGGCTCATCTCACTCACGTGGTTTCAGTGGCTGAGGATGAGGTACTTTTCTTCCTAAAGCGGGATCGAAGGACTCTAGGCGGTGCCTGGCAGAGAAAACACAAAAAGGCATCCCTCAATTTGGTGTATGCATTGAACCTTTAAAAAAATTTTTTTTTGAACATTTATTTTGGGAGACAGAGCACAAGGGGCAGAGAGAGGAGGAGACACAGAATCTGAAGCAGGCTCCAGGCTCTGAGCTGTCAGCACAGAGCCTGACGCGGGACTCAAACTCACAAGCCGTGAGATCATGACCTGAGCCAAAGTCGGACGCTTAACCGACTGAGCCACCCAGGTGCCCCTGCGTGGAACCTTTTGAGGCGAGCACCTGTGTGCGTTTTGTGTTGAGACACACAACTCCTTTGGTACACGAACACTTGTGTGACACAGTTGGCTGGGTGGAGGGCTCACTCCTAAGCAGGAATCAGGGTCACACCCCAGCATCCTGAAGCTGAGCACCTCCCTCCCTCTTCATGCTCCCTAAGTCCCTGAGTCTTGGGAGCAAAATGACCCTAACAAGTGACTCGGCACAGAGAAATGCCTCCTTAACTCTTCCCTTGTCTTTGTTATTTCCTTTGCGAACCAGCCTCATATTTCTAGGTACGTGCTAAAAATTTCCATCACCAAGTTTCCGGTGTTCTTTCTGGATGTGAAATCCTTCAATGCACAGCAAGCCACACAGCAAAAGGAAACACTGTCCTTAAGTATAAAGGTTTCCACCTCATCTCCCCTACAAATGACTATCAAGGGAGCCCTCCTACCATGGGACACACAGATCACAGAAATTCCTTCTACAATGAAAGAAAAAGAAATTTTTCTCCTGGCATAGCACTCAAGGCCGGAGGGGGGGTTGGGGAGGGGAGGAGGGAGTGCAGTCACACAACTGGCTCCAAGCTACCCTCAACCCTTGTCTCTGTCCACTTCTCTCTACTAACTTTTGCTGTGGCATCCTTCCACACCTCTGTTCCTTCTGACCTGAAGCCCTTCCCGTCCTTCTCTGTCTTGCTGTTTATTGTCCTCTCTAGCACCCAGCTCAAAAGTCACTCCTGAGCCCCTCTCCTCACAGCCCAGTGACGCACAACCAGGGTCACCTTTGTTCTCCTAGTGTTTTGCACACAAGAGGACATCAGGGGACTTTGCATCCTTGGCAGAGTGTGTTTGCTCTGGTCCCTGTCTCCCCCTCCACACTGTGAACTTCTGGAGGGCAGGTCCACATTCGCCATTTCCCAGTAAGTAGCTCAGTGCCTGGAAGGCACACAGAAGGGAAGGAGGGAGAAAGGGAGAGAACAAAACAGGAAATAGGAAGGTCTGGTCTTCCACATCCCCAGTCCCTCACATCACCATTTTGACTAGGAAATGTTTACCAGCCACCTCTGGACTCAGAGTAAAAGAGGAATCAGGGAAACCCACCTTTAGAAACCTGCCTTAGGCTGTTTAAAGTAAACAGTAAAGCAGCTTGTGCCGTTTTAACACAACAAAACCAAAATGGCAAAACCCTTAGACCCTACGATGTTTTGGGCACCTTCCATGTGAGAGCTGAGCCCCTCCCCCTATCATGGGTTGGCTCAGGCTGTGTTGGAGCCCAGAACATCTTTTACCAAAACCTCTAACTTCAAAATTGATCCATATGTGCCCCACCCTTGGAAAGGAATCTGATGAACTCGTGTACACTCAGTGGTAATAACCACGGTCCTAGTCTGAACGGGATCGATAGGTCATGGTGCTTGAGTAGGAGAACATTTCAATGCATCCCCTCAACTAAGTCTCATGGGGTCCCTACGCTGAGGACAGGGGGACTCCCAACTTGCCTCAGATGGACTTTCAGGCCACAGTATTTAGCAGATGGGGCATGGGGGAGGAGATGTGAGGGGCAGAAAGGAAGGCTAGGGGGTCCCCAATTCTGCCAGCTCCACACCTGAGTCTAAGACTGGTGACTCCCTACCCACATCACAAAGCAAGGCCCCAAGGCTCTAGGCTTAGCCCTCCTGCTGCCAAAACTCCATCCACACCTACAACTGGCCACAGTACATCTATTAAGTATATTTGATTTAGGTCGCTTTAGAGGGCTGTGCCCTTTCAGTAACATTTTATCGATATTGGCTTTATACTAGGCACTATTGCTGTGTCTTGAAGATACGATGACAAACATGCTTTATTTACAAAAACTTGTCAAATAACACATTTTCTTCCCCTAAAACACACATTGGGGTTGCTTTTCATTTCCACATCATCTTATGTTAGTAGTTGTAAATTTTTGATTTCTAAAAATTTTTATTAAAAAGTTTTTTAATGTTTATTTATTTTCAAGACACACACACACACACACACACACACACACACACACACACACAGTAGGAGCTGGGCAGGGAGAGAGAGAGGGAATCTGAAGCAGCTCCAGGCTCTGAGCTGTCAGCACGGAGCCCGACACGGGGCTCAAACCCACGAACTGCGAGATCATGACCTGAGCCGAAGCGGGATGCCCAACCGACTGAGCCACCCAGGAGTCCCAGTAGTTGTAAATTTTTAAATCTTATTCTAAATGCTAGATCACCTCTCCTATTTCTAAATAAAATGAGCAGAGTCTTTTTCACCCCTCGGCCAGTCTCTGGATGCTACCTAGTGGTCTGTCCTGTTTGTTTGATGGGGAGAGATCTTCCTACCCCAGGCGCTCGGGAGGTGCTGGGTGCCCCAAGGGATGCCACTCCTGGGCCCCCCAGGTCTCCAGGGCAAGGCCCTTGTGCAAACACATGCTCCACCACACAGCCCCAGACACCGTGTACCTCCAGGGGGAACTCCGTCTTTCGAGGCGCCTTATACTTGTACATGAAATCCAGCAGATCTTCCTCCTCCTCGTCCGAAAATGCCAACGGGTTTTGGACCTCGTGGGGCTCCCAGGCCTTCACACCACCCTCATTCACATCTCCCTCAACCACTTAATGTCCATTTACAATCTATACAAAGGAGACAAAGTACAGCAGGGAGGGATCAGCGGAGAAAGGAGCCAGGAAGGGCAGGCAAGGGCAAGGTTAGGCACACAGCATGACGAGCCACGCCTGTTAGGACAGCCGAGGTCCCCGTGTCTGAAGAAGCAGCCAGTATCCCCCGGGCCTCCCTGCAGGCTGGTCCAGGACTGCGAGGTTCCAACTGGAGACTGGCAGGCACTGTGCACAGGAACAAGCACAGGCTCCGGAACCTGATAAGCTGGTGAGCAGAACCGATAAGCTGCCAAGGGAGGTGGGGGCACCGCTGCCCTGGGACAAGGAAGATGCTACCTTAACTGAGAGGTGTCAAACCCTGCAGCTTGGACATGTGACGCCACACCAAAGAGTGCTCAGGGGAAGAATCCCCTCTAGAACGGATCAGTGCGGTGATCTGAAGAGGGGACTAGAGTTCCCTCTCTTACACAGATGAGCCATGTTGACAGTGCATTACAACTGCATACTCAGCTCACGTGTTCTTCAAGACAGGATGTCAAATGCCAGGAAGCCTTAACAGAGAACCTTAAGTGAAGTTATGTAGATGGTTCATTTCAAAGGCCAAGTCCTAAAGAAACAAAGAAACCTAGTGGGAAGAGAATCTAGGAATACCCTTCCCTCCAGAATGACAGCAAGATTCCTGTTTTAATCTGCCTTGGCTAAATCCACAGGAAAAACTCGAGAATTAATTCATGTCATGGAATGCACAGGTTTTTTTTTAAATGTTCAATCCTTAAGCATATTCCACGTCCTCCTATTTAAGCCGAGATATAAAATATTTCCTGCCCATACCTGGCTTATCTGACACTCAAAGACATATCTTTCTAGGTTTCATATATTGTTTTTACCTAGAATCACAGACTGCAGATGTATGGGGCCCTCAGATCATCCAGTCAACAGCCCTAAGGCCTGTAGGAAAAAAAACAAACAAACAAAAAACGGACCTCTTTCTGGAACACCCTGCTCCTACTCCTAAAAACATAGCCATCAATGTGTTCTCTCCATCAACACACAACTCACTCGACTATATGAGCACCAGGTGTGGGTGAAGCAAAACTAACAACAGACCTTAATCTCGGGCAGCTTTTCCAGGTACTGCTGCTGTATCCCCAACAGCCAGCAGGAGGCAGCATGAGAGCTCGATTGCTCGTTTGTCTTCACCACAAATTGCAAAGCAGAATTGTAGGCTGGGAATGCCCTGCTCTGACAGCTCCTTGGTAAGGGCCAAGATGGAGGTTGTTAACCTTCCTTTGATTCTTTTGCTCTGTGCATCCCCCAGCCTGGGGGGTGGGGTGGGGTCAGGTTGTCCTCTGGGCCCTTCTTCCCTTGCCCAAATCAGCTGCACCCTCAGGACTCTGTTGAACATGAAGGCTGGCAACTCCAGGGAGCCCTCCCTGGCCTCCTCACCCTAGGACCACAACTGCACGTGGCATCTGTACCACGTGACTTGCAGTGCGTGCCCGGTTTCTCATATGGGCCTCATTCTGTCTGCCTCAGCCTGACAGAAAGCATCTTGAGCTTTGGGGACCGTGGCTGATCCTCGGTGCCTCTGAACACGGATGCAGGGCTGGGCACCCAGTGGCTGCAGGTGGAATACAGGCATCATCTGAGAGCTTAGGTCTCATCCCCAGTCAGACCTTGACACCCATCCACAGAGAAGTTCCTTCAGGACACAGATACCTCTTGGCTGACAGGAGGAAAAAGAAACAGGCCTGCCCAGGGCCAAAAGGCCTCAGACCAGGACAGAAACCGCAGAAGCAGCCTGGCCAGGTCTGCCTCGACACAAAACTGCATCCTGGGTGTGGGCCTGGGGACTGGTTGGAGTCTGTGCCTCTGCACATGGGGTTCCCTCCAAATTTTGGTCCAGGGCTTTCCCCGTGCTGTTGCTATCCATTCCTTAAGACCCAGAGACAACCTGTGTGGGGAGTGACTCTCACTGAAGTTCATGGCCACAGCAACCACCTCTAAACCTTAGGTGATGGCAGCCAAGACCTTGAGCCTGCAAAGCTGCCACCCTGGTGCCCAAGGCTGGGCAGCCTCTACGAAAGGACAGGAGTCCCTGCTGCCTTCTGCGGCCTTGCCTGACGTTCGATAAGAGTGAACGTGTCAGCAGGACCACAGCGGGCTGGCACGCAGCTCCACATCTGCTCTCTGCTGGGGGGGGGGGGGGGGTGGGGGGGAGGGGCAGGGGGCGAGGAAGAAACTGGCTGAGTCTCAGAGCCCTTGGAGGCCTGAGTAGATGTGTATGCACAGAGCCCAAGGCTTCCCCACCCCCATAGTGCCAAAACACCCCCAGATTGTTAACCACCAGGTTAGCAAACACATCCCACACAGCACACGTTAGTGGGAGCCATTAATGGAAGTCAGCAAACGTGTTGAAGGAGGGCACACCCGTCTGGAACACTTACATCCGCGTCCCCGACAGCCACCGAGGAGAAAGAAAACAATATTCTGTTAGGGAAGGGTCTCTGGGGAGGAGACACACACACGTGCGAGCGTGCGTGCATACGCACAGATCCACGCACAGACATACACTCACTCGTTTCCCACACTCTAAACCTCACACAGCCACTGCTGCTGTCTGAGGAAACGCGCTGCCTGGGGCTACTCTGGGAAAACGCAATTCTCTCTCTCTTTCAGTAGGAGGAATACAAGGCATGACTTTGCTTTTTTAAAATGAGGCCCCACACACTTGATTTTTCTATTTTAAAGGGAAAAAAACCCCATCTTTATGACTAACTCCAAGCAGTAATAAAAACTTCAGTTCTACATTACATCAGGGCAGGTAGGGAGAAAAGGGACAGGAAAGAGCTGTCGGGCGGGAAGGAGAGAGATTAATAGAAAGAGACCCGTGCAGGAAACAACAGGGAAATGGCTGACAGAAGGGCAGGAATGGAGCTGAGGTGGGGAGAGAATGTTCTTGTGGGCTCTGAGATGCACAGATGAAAATCATCTCAAGGGACCAGGAGGGGCTCTGTGACCAAAGTGTCTGTGACCCCCTGAAACCCTCTCCCACGGCATCATTGCCGGAGAGCTGGCCTCCAGTCCCCCAACACCATTTGCTGACACCTCACACCGGGCACCCATCACTTGCAGAGATGGCCACACTTTATGGAGGAGGGGACCGAGCCCTGAAGAGCTGAGGGACTTTCCCACTCTCACAGACGGACGAAGCTGGTCTTGCAAGCAGACCTTAGGGAGACTGGGAAGTGGGGGACAACTCCGGGGCACTGGGTGTTAAGAGGGCCTCAGAAAGGGAGGGCTGGGGCAAAGGCTCCCAGATCACAGCTCTGAGCAGGGCCACCCCAGCCCGAGGGCGCCCCCCCCCAGCCCCACCTGCTGCCCACTCCCCAACACCCCCATCCTCACAGCTCCTGGGGAAAGCAAACTCAAATGCCTACAGTCAACTGCAATTCTATTTAAATACACTGGAAACACAGCCTCTGATTTGGAAACCGTCAGGGGTCACAAGAGGTGAGGGCTTCCCAGGGAACAGCGCAGAGCAGTCCCATGAGGAAAGAGTGGAGGGGAAGGCAGCTGTAGTCTCCCTGGTCCTCCAGGTGGTAATATCCCAGAGCTAGAGGCTTTCAGAATGGCTCGAGGAATTTACAAACTCAAAACTGGTCAATAGTTAGAAATAGCCACAGTCGCCTGAGGCCTCTGGGACCCCGCTCGAGGTTGTTCCCCAACAACCAGGAGGTTCACCAGGTCCAAGCATTAGCCTCTAGCACTGGAATGCAGCCCCTCTGTGTGTTTCTTCCTTTTGAAAACTGAGATATAACATGACATCGTGTTAGGTTAAGGTGTACGATGTAATCATTTGAGCCATATACATGTGTATATATACATACACATATACGTATACATATACACATACATATGCATATACATATACATATACATATACATATACATATACACATACATACACATATACGTATACATATACATCCCTCTGTATCTGATGTGGACCAGGAGGCCCCTGAGGGACACAGAGCTGGTCAGAGTTAGAGCCACGTTAGCACACTGGTCTCTACTGTCGCCCTGCTCAGAACTCCTTTGACAGTAGGTTCACATTGGGTTTATGGTCTCCAAAACCCCCAGGTGTTATATAGACTTTTAAAAGCCTTAGTGTCGAGAAGCCTTACAAATGAAGAAATGAAGGGGAAAGAGGACACTTCTTAAATGCAGCTCATGTCCTCTACTCCCACCACTGCAGGAGGGACGGCCATGCCTCTGCAGCCCCAGTGCTAGTTGCACAGGCAGCGGTGGGTGCTGTGCCTGCCTCCTCCCCCTACCGCACCCCCCCCCCCATGCCAGCCAGCAGCTGCAGATGGGGTGGCCTTTTGCCTTCAGAGCCAAAGGCAGATTCTCCGTGGAGGGGCGCCCTCCATGGCAGGTGAAGGGGGAGCTGGGTCTGTCCAGCACCATCCCCAGTCCCTCACGTATCTAGTCAAGGTTAGGGAAGCAGCAGGAGCAGGGCAGGAGACAACACGGCCAACCGCGGGCAGGCGGCCATGGCTGCACCAAGCCATCGTTCGCTCACAGGGAGGGCAGCCGCACTGGGAGACCCCAGGCTCATCCCCTCTCCCGGAGGCTTTCTGGCTGCTCCCAGCTATAATAAAAAGCCTTTTCACAACCACGCAGTGAGGTGGGGAAGCAGGACCTTTATCTCTACTTTAAGTTGTGGAAACCGAGGCTCGGGTTGGTTAGGTGGTTCACGCACAGTTACAGAGCTAGTAAGTGGCAAAGCAGGACCAGGGCTCCCTTGGCTGCACCTGGACCAAAACCCCTGGAACTACAAGCCTTCATCGCTTCAGAGGACCTGGGTAAGTTCCTGTGTCCTCATCACCCACAGCACAAGGACATATGACTCTGTGGCAGTTTTAAAATATCTCCACACATTTTTTGATACTCCTCCCTTCGTGAGGTGGAGATTAATTCCCCTCCCTTTGAGCACGGGCTGGACCTAATGACTCACTTCCAACAAACAGAAGAAGGCAGAGGTGACTTCAAAGACTAGGTCCTAAAACATACTGTGGCTTCCTGCATGCCCTCTCTCAGTTGGATCACTCACTCTGGGTGAAGCCAGCTGCCATGTTGTAAGGACACTCAAGCAGCCCCAGAGAGACCCATGTGGTAAGAGGATCTGAGTCTGCAGCCAGTAGCCACAAGAGAGCTATCTTAGAAGTGGATCCTCCAGGCTCAGTCAAGCCTTTATGTGACTGCAGCTCCGGCCAACATCTTGACTACGCCTGTTCACAGACCCTGAGCCAAACCACCAGGTTAAGAGGCTCCTGAATTCCTAGCCTGCAGACACTGTAAGATAACACAGGTTTGTCATTTCAGGGGGTTGACCTCCTGACTCCTGCCCCCCCCCCAACCGCCGCCGCCCAAGACTATGCAGCTGAAAGGGAGCCCCAAGGTCAGGCGCCAGCTTATGGTTAGAACCTCCTCCTGAGGCGAGAGTCCAGCACGCTGCACAGAGGCTGGCTGCTTACTCACCTTTCCGGGTCCTGCAGGTAGAGCAGCAGGTACACACTGTGGGGATGGGGGACATCATCAGTGACACCCCTTACTCAATGGGAACCAGCCCCAGCAAACAGGGAGGCCCCAGTGAGGTGTGGGGATTCCAGTATGTTCAACATAAGGGCCCTGGGAATGCGGGTCTCTGTAGAGACACCACGGTGGGGGAGGAGATCATTCTAGACTCAGCTTCCCCTCGGGTGCTAGAAAATGCCCTTGCCCGGCCCACACAGGTCAGTCCTATTATATCCTCTGAGAAATAATTCTAACCTCACCTGCTCACACACCCCTCCACTCTATGCCTTCCAGTTCAGAAGGATTTCCAGAAACCCTTCTCAGACTGACCTCTGACTCCCCAGATTGCTTGGTATCAGTCATTCGGTCAAAGGCCTAAGTGACCGTTGCCTTGTACACTCCACTGGTCTTGGTGCACATGTGGGCCTTGGTATACAGTAGGTGCTTACTAAATACAAGTTGACTGAGTGTCTCCAAGTTCATGGGACGCATGGATCATTCTTTCAACACCACCTCCACTCTTCCTGGGGTTCAATGCCAGACTTCCAATAAATGGTGTCTAAGATTCTGTAGGGAGGGCGATATGTTTCTGCAAATTCCATATTGTTATTTTACACCATGGGCATGTATTTTTATTTTACATATATTGTTACATTATATCTCACTGTTTTGTACATTTTTTCACTGGCATCATGGTTTCAAGAACGTATTGTACATTGTATGTACATTTTAACCACTGCTGCCATACCGCTCCCTGGGGTCCAGTCACCACCTCTGACCTGTCCACCCCCAGACTGCCTTCAACAACTGCCACCTGTCCAGGGTTTGCAAATTCTCTTGTTTGATCTCCTCACAAGCCCAAGACCCAGGCTGAGTAGGGACTACGGTACCCATTTTCCAGAGGAGAAAGCTGAAGGGAACAGGGCTCATCTTCCATGCCAAGGTCAAATTCCCCAGTAGCGACCACCTGGGGTGTGATTCTGAGAAAGGTTCGGAGGCCGAACATAGGCTCAGTGGGGACAAACGTGGTAGCTGCTTGGCAACATGTGCCTCACCTGCACTGCTCTGCACAGGCCTGCTGTCGCCCTGCCAGGATGGAAGCCCAGACTCAGGCCCTACCTCACCGCGCCCAGTGTCCAAGGCCCACATAGCGGGTAGGGAGGGCATACAAACCCTTGCAGCTGGGTCTCCTTTGTCAGACTTTCTGCCAGGCACATGGACCCCCAACTGCCCCAGAGCCTCTGATCTGGGTGCTTTTGCCCCACCCATGCCCAGGTCCTGGGTCATCTTTCACCCGTCTTGCGTTCTGAGAGGACTTTTATTTTAGGTCCCAGAACAGCTGGAGTGAGCGCCACATGGTCCCCGCCCTCCCTGCTGGGTCAGCACCTCCCTTCTCTGCCCCCTGGAATCACAGGAGCTGTGGCCCAGGGTGAGCAGGGGGCAGTGCAGGGTCATGTTGCAGCACAGCAGGTTCTCTGGTTCTCCATGAACTCTACCTGCTCACCTGCATCCAGGGTGACCCCACAGGCTCGCTGCTCCACCGGCAGAGGGCATCACTGCCAATGGAAGGCTGCAGGGCCAGCGCCAAAACAAAGCGTCCCAAACCGTTTCTACTTAGTGCTGCTCTGGGAAAATGTTCAAAGCCCAGGAGACACTTCCCATCGCCTTCAGACCTCACCAGACTTCTCACTTTCCCAGTTCTGAGGCTGCCCTAAATAATCCACCAGGAGGAGGTCTGGGCAGGAGGCCTGGATTCTGGTCCTGTGTGGCCTTGGCACAGTGCATGACCTCTCTGAGCCTACTTCTTCCACTTGGTTCACTTTATAATGACAACACAGAATCTTAGAGGGAAAGGGACTGTGGAGCCACCTGGGCCCCACTTGCTGGCCAAAGCAGGAAGACCTCCCTAGAGCCCCGGTGTATGACCATTCAACTTTGGTTCGGGCCCTTCCAATGTCAGGGACCTTACTACCTCACAAGGCAGCCTACTTCTCTCCTGGACACTTTCACATGAGAAAGTGCTTTCATAGGTGAGTTAGATAACAACAGGAACAACAGTACCAGCTACTACGTAGACTGCGGGCATGATCCTAAGCACGTTTACGTGGATTATTTTATTCAAATCCTCACAACAGTCCTACAAGTAGGTATTGTCATTCCTTGTGAACAGATAAGGAATCTGAGGTTCAGAGAGGGCAAGAGCATGCCCAGGTCACACAGCTAGTAAGCAGCTACCCTCTTAGAACTTTACCCAATTTTATCTCATTGGTTCTTGCTCTACCCTTTAAGCCTCACAGAATTGGGGTGTGCAAACAGAGAGCACCATCCCAGGAATAAGGAGGCCACAGGAGAATGCCAGTCCATGGGTGACCCGGTGACAGTTCCCTTCCCTGGGCCTTGGACTCTTTATTGGTAACATCTGAGGATTAGACTGAATGATCCCTGAGGTCTCTTCCTGCCTGGACTTTTGGGATTGCATTCTAAATTCTCCTGAGGGAGAGTTCACTCAGGAGATAGCCCCTCCGTGAGGTGATCCTCACCCTTACAGCCAAGCGTTTACATTTCCAACCTTGCCAGAGTTAAAACATCTCCCCTCAGAGAGAAGCCACAATGTTCAAACCCGGGGCCAGGGTGAAGTGGGGTGTTCTGATGAACGGGAGCACCCAGGAGGAAACTGATGGACACCTGGCCTGCTTCTAAGCTGGTCTCCCTTCCCTGGCAGGGAATATGAGCCATTATTCCCAGGGCGGCCACAGGACTCCTTCTTTCCCATCCCTGTCCAAGACCCCTAAAAGCCAGGTGGGGTCTTCGAGGCTCAGGGTCAAGATGCCCCCTGCAGGGTGCACCTCACAGCACAGGATCAGGGTCCAGGGGACTCATATGTCCCTGCTTCTGTGTTTAAGAGCAGGGCAGCCACCAGGCACATGTCACAGCCAGAGACTCCAAAAGGGTGGTCCAGTTCCCATCCTCGAGGCTCAAAGTTCCGCCAAGGGTGAGGAGTAGAGGTGGCGATCCAGAACTGTGCCCTATACCCCTTGTACCGTTAACCCTCCGCTGGCAGCAGCAGTGTTCAGCTCCTGAGAGCCAAGGTCCCTGGAATCTCTCCAAGGAATGGCCTGGGAAAATATGAGCCCTGGCCCAGCTCCCTCGCCCCTAATCCATGCCCCTGCCCTCCATAAGCCTGAAACCCACTAATGGATCAGACATCAGTGGGTCCCAAAGGGGGCTGCACCTCAACACCACCATATATGGGTCTCATCCCAGATTTACTGAATCTTCTGGGGATGGGCCCAGGACTCTGCATGTCTAACAAGGTCCCCAGGTCAAGCCTAATACAGGGAACCTGATGCCAGGCACTTGACAACCAGAGGTAGACATCGGGGACAGAGGTATGGTTTCCATAAAGCTGTGGCCTCTGCAGGAGTTAGATCTCAGAGCTAGTGTGGTCTTTGGCATGTAGGGACTGAGGGTGTGCATGGTGAATGGGGGCACAGGGATGGGAGCAGATGGCAGAGTGACAGGAAACATTCATGCAGGGAAAAGGAACCACAGGAGCCACAAGCCCTGGTTGGGCAGGAGGAGACACTCAGGTAGCCAAGACAGGGAAGCCCTCCTAGGAGTATAAGGTCGGAGAGGAAGAGAACAGAGAAAGCTGTCTTGGCCCACGTCCAGCTGTGCCCGTTGCCTCCAGGCTTGGTTCACTCACTATTCTCCACCCACCCCCAGCCCTTCGATAATCAGATGGAGAGGCAGAACCCTTTGATGCAGGAGGCCTAACCCTGGCCCCTGTCAGAGTCCCCAGGCCAGCCTCGCATCCTGGCCAGAATGGTGCTCTGCCTCTTGGCTGTCCTGGCACGATCTGATGGACATCTGTGTTGATGGCTACTCTGGGTTACGTGCCACATGGTGGACGGGGCCTCTCTCCGTGAAAGCAAGGCCTGTGAACTGGAAAAGATGAAAAGTGAAATGATACCTACCTGAGCTGCCGGCGCTCTCAGAAGCACTCCTGGACATCTTAGGCTGGCCATGTTTGCCGCTGGCTCGCCCAGACCCCTGTGGTGGGGGGCTGGAGGGGGCAGGGGCACCGTCACCCCGGATGGTGGTGAGGTCCTGCATGCTGAAGCTCCGGAGTCTCTCCGATAAGGCACCCTGTCCCTGGATACAACACAGGAAGGGGGCACACGTCAGAGGCCTGCCCCACAGACCACAGGCAGTAGTGGGGGTGGGGGGAGTGCAGACACAACAAAGGCCAAGAGGAAGTTCTGACAGTCGACAAGGTGAAACTCAAGACCTGGAAGGACTCTGCAGAGGGGCAGGTGCCTGGTGTACTGGCTGGAAACACTGAGAGGAGCAAGGCCTGGAATATTCCAGGGCCTCCTGTGGGTCTCAGCCATCGTGCCTCTGGCTCCCGGCTCCTTCTCCTTCATTTTTAAATTTTTTTTTAATGTTTATTTTTGAAGGAGAGAGAGACAGAGCATGGCGGGGGGTGGGGGGGGGGGGTGAGGGGAGAAGGGCAGAGAGAGGGAGACACAGAAGCCAAAGCAGGCTCCAGGCTCCGAGCTGTCAGCACAGAGCTCGATGGGGGGCTTGAACTCATGGACCACAGGATCATGACCTGAGCCAAAGTCAGACGCTTAACCGACTGAGCCACCCAGGCGCCCCTCCTTCTCCTTCAGATGCCCACATCGCATGATGAGCTAGAGCCACAAACAGACCCAGGGCGGAGGAAATGACTGCGACCTACGGTTCCTACTCTTGAGGGGCTGTCTGCTGCTTCTCTGGCTTTACATAAATAAAAGTCCCTACATAGCCTCATTTTTGCTCAGTTTCCAGTACACAAGAATCTGGTCAGAAAAATCAAAACCTAATAATCAATGTGCTCAGTCCTTACACTTTTCAAAGGAAATAAAAATCAGCCGGTATTTTTTAAAAAATGTATGACAACAGCAACTTCTTTTATCCGTTCATGTTACTGTTTATGAGGCCCATTTGTTTCCACTCTTGCATTTGAGCTTCATAAAATACCCAAAAGGTAATGAATCAGGAAAGAAAAAACATGACATTAAAAAAAAAAAAAAAACAAAAACCTGCTGACTGTAACCATTTCATATTCTGAGAGAGTCACAGAATTCATCTCAGGGGAAAACTGTTCTTTTGTTTAGGAAAGCGGGAGATCAATCCATTATACTTATGAAAGGTAAGGTCCTTGCTGTCTGGATGAGAGAATCTGTCACAGTGAAAAGGATCATAATGAAGGCTCAGGGAGGGGGCATCGCCTTAGGGGTGCCTCAGGGGCTGGAGAGGGACCTTGTGTTTGGAGGAGAAGGAACTTGAGAGGGGGCTGGGGGCTGGTAGGAGACTGGGGTTAATTGAGAATTGGGTTGGGATTTGAGCAAAAGGTGACAGGCAAGTAACCACCAAGCAAATCAATGAAGTTGGGCATCTTCAGAAATACCGGAGGGCGTGCAGACTTCCCACAAGTACACGGGACAGCAGAGGACAGCGGAGGAGGTATTTTATTAGGATAATGAAGGGAAAGTGGTGCTAGAGGGCTGGACTACTTGGGAACAGTAAGACACAACAGATATAATAGAACCAACAAATCAGCACAAAATAGGTGGGAACAGCCAACAAGAGGGCTCTGGGTTGGGGGTGGGTTTAATAAAACAAACAAGGGCCACAACATGGCAAAGGGGTTGGAGGACTTTTTTCATTTTACTTAAGGAAAAAAAAAAAAAAAAAAAACAATGAAAATGGCCAGCAAAGCACCGCAGTTCATAGAAGTGACTAGTCAAAAGGCCAGTTAGATAAAGAAGCAAATGCAAATGCAGAATGAGTTAGTTAGAGGGAAGGGGGAAAACAAAAGGAGCTTGCAGACAGGTCTAGAAGAAATGTCAGAATAAAACAAAGATGCATTAAAATATGAAAAAGATAAGTTCTCAACATACCAAAGATCTAAAAACGTCTCTAGGAAACTAAGAGCAAAAAGAAAACTATTTAAATAATCAGATATATACGATCAGAATTATAAATCCAGACAAAGGAGTGTTTTATGTTTAAAAAAAAAAAAAAAAGAGATGGAAATCACCCCCAGACACCCCTCTGGTGTCTGATGGTGGCCAAGAGGTCTGAGGCCTCACCTTCTAGACATTAACAGCTGGGTGGTCTGTGCCATGAAAATGAGGTAAGACTAGCTGCCCAGTATAATCCCCTCCAAAGCTATCAGCCAATGATCTATGATTATTTAACTCAGAAGCACTTAAGGTGACATCTAGAATTTAGAAAGGCGCCTGGGTGGCTCAGATGGTTAAAGTGTCTGACTTCAGCTCAGGTCGTGATTTCGTGATCCATGAGTTCAAGCCCCACGTTGGGCTCTGTGCTGACAGCTCAGAGCCTGGAGCCTGCTTCAAATTCTGTATCTCCTGCTCTGTCTGCCCCTTCCCCCAATCTAAAAAATAAATAAACATTAAAAAAATTTTTGGGGGCGCCTGGGTGGCACAGTCGGTTAAGCGTCCGACTTCAGCCAGGTCACGATCTCGCGGTCCGGGAGTTCGAGCCCCGCGTCAGGCTCTGGGCTGATGGCTCAGAGCCTGGAGCCTGTTTCCGATTCTGGGTCTCCCTCTCTCTCTGCCCCTCCCCCGTTCATGCTCTGTCTCTCTCTGTCCCAAAAATAAATAAACGTTGAAAAAAAAAATTTTTTTTTTAATTTTTTTTAGAAATGAGAGGGCTAAGGAACAAAAATGAGTTCTGAAAAGAGGCAGGAAATATTGACAATGACAATGGAGTAATTCAGTGTCAGGTTCACATTCAGAAAGGCTACCCAGTGGTTCACTTTCAGTCATCCTCCCATTCAGTCACTTTTGTTCAACAATTATTTATCAAGGATGTTCTCTGGGCAAGACACTATGCTAGGTGTTATTAGGAAATACCAAAAATAGAGTTCGATTTCTGACAAAATGTAAAAAGGCAAATGTACAAATAACCACACAGCTTGTGCCACACCTGAAGCTCCACAAAGTGACAATTAAGAGCAATGGTTCTGGAGTCAGACCTAGAGTCAAATTACAGTCCTATCACTAAGAGCTGGGTGACCTTAACCTCTCTCCACCTCAATATTCTCCTCTGCTAAGGAGCATCCACATGGCAAGATATAGTGAGGATTACATGAGATTATGTCCATACGATAGTATAAAGCCCAATGCATGGTAAGCGTTCAAAAGATGCCAACTATGATGATGGTGATGATGGTGGTGACAATGAGCATGAGGATGATATGCTGCCTGAGACACACGAGTTGCTGTTGAAATAAAAAATAAAAAGACCACATCCGGCCAAAAGGACAAGGAGGGGCTTCACGAGCCCAAGCCCAAATAAATGGTCAGGGACTAAGTCCATCAATGTGCCTGCCAGCTCCTGCCAATGTTCAGCAATGTATCCGAGAGCAAGCAGCAACAGGCACCATACATGTCCTTTTCAGCAAGGCACTCGAGTCCACTCCCAGAAGCCAGGCCAGCCTAGCCCCAATATCACTAACATCATGAAGACTGGAAGTGGCAGAGGTTAGCAAAGAAAAGGGGATAATAATAGCTCTGTATCAACACAGTCCTGACTCAGACGAAATCATAGCAGCATGGGCACAAGGATCTTGAAAACAAATTAGTCTTTATCTGTCAAAACATTCTGAGGTGGTTAGAATTCATATGGCTCTCTCATTTGTAAACCTCTCAGCCCGTCTCCGTCTCCTCTCAAAACCTCATTTCCATTCATTTTCCACAAACCCCAATCCACCCTGCCACTTTGGCTCTGCTCTGGAGAACGTCCATTTTATTATTCTGGGAACAATCAAGAATTGTTCACTGGTACTCTGCAAAACTGGGTTCCTTATTTGGGAATATAAATATGGATCCCCTAAGTTTGTTAAAGCTTAAAACCACATTCTCCATAATTCAATGAGCCACATCACCACATTAGAGCCTTTAAAGAGTCCTATACTGTTTCAGGTTAACTCACTGTATCTCCAACGAATTTGACCACACTGGGATATACTGTTAGTTGACCATCCAAAAGTCACTCCCAACCCCTTCTTGACACGATGAAAAAAAGAAAAAAAAACAAACAAACAGATTTCCCAATCTCCCTTGTAGCTATGGATGCCTATGTGGTTCAATTCTGGCCAATGGGAGGTAAGGGAAATTTGCTAAGGGATTTCTGGGAAAGGCATTTCTTTTCCCAATATGCAGGAGAAAGGCCTGAACCTGCTCCCTGTCTCCTGCCTTTGACTGTGGTGGAACTGCCATCTTGTGACTAGGTGACTCACAGAGACATCCATTTAGAGCCCTGACATCTCTGACTCACTGGAATAATGACAGTACCCGCTTACTCCTAGACTTCTTGTGAATGATCTTCATCTATTTCAAGACATATATTTTTTCATCTCTGAAATTGAGGTGGGTCTTAAAATTGTTGTTGCCTTGACATCATTGTCATTGCCTACACATGAATGCATTTGATTGTCATCCCCATGGCATGAATGGACAACTGAACTGAATTGAAACCATTCAGAACCACCCACAGAAGAAATATGAGTCCAGGTTGTCTAAAACACACTCCATTGACACCTCTGGTAAGATCAAGAAAGTGGCAGCATCCACACTGGCAGAATGGTTATCAGCGGCATGGATGAAAATCCCAGAGACAGCAGCCAGCTGTGTATTACCAACGCTCTGGAAGGTGGAGTGTGATACAGCATGGTCATAAACAGACACTGACGAGCTCAGTTGAAAAGTGATTCAGAAGAGTGAGACTCAGAAACTGAAAAATCGAGGTTAGGAAGAAATTCAATCAATTTATTGTGCTTATGTGTTCCTTTTAATGTATGTGCAAAGTGATACACACAAAAATCTATGTCTAAACAAGTCTAAAAGGGTCCTTTTGATAAGTAGAAGTAAAAATTCTAAGTGGAAGAGGATTAAGCCCTAATTTGATTGGCAATATTTTCCTCCTTTAGGGGTAGATAACAATGTTATCTTACATAGTCTTAGAAACTATCCCATTCTTTTTTTAAATAGGCTTCATGCCCAATGCAGAGCCCAACATGGGGTCTAACGTGGGTCCTGAACAGACAACCCCAAGATCAAGACCTGAGCTGAGACCAAGAGTCAGACACTTAACCAACTGAGTCACCCAGGTGCCCCCAAACCACTGTGTTTTAGATTCAATACAATATGGTTGCACTTCTCAGAGAAGTTTTGTCTGACCACCTCCGCTCCCTGTCGTATGCTTTCAGTGAAGTCTGTACTTCTTTGTAGCACCTCACACAATTACATTAAACTATTGGCATTGTTTGTTGGTTTGTCTTCCCCTCCAGATTGTTTCATTTATTGGTGTCTGCCATGTTACCTGACATACATTAGGGCTCAAGGAGTTGAATGAGTGAACATATGGCCATGTATTGAGCAATTTCCTCAGTAAAGAGCAGTAACAGGAAATCCCCACCCCTACCCCAGTGCATCGGCCAGGGTCCCATACCTCAAGGAGCATTCTGTTGAATAGGGACATGTGCTCTGTCCACAAGGAGTATATGAGAAAGGCCAGAGGGCTGGAGGGTGTAAAGGACAGACAGTGTGCATTGGAGCAGCCAGACATACCAGAGGAGACTATGCTTGACCTGGCCTTAGAGGACTTGGGTAGGTGAATATGGGGACCAGGTGGAAAGAGAAGTATATTTCTTGGTCATCCAGCACTCAGAGCTGCCCATTCAATGACAGATGAGGTCTTTGTAGTTTTTGTCTGCTAAGGGGATGGGGGTCCAGTTATACTGTGTTAATGGCCAAATGAATGCATTTGTGAAAGTGCCTGCTGAAAGGTCACAGGGTTTCTTTTAAAACAGCTGGACCAGTGGGGGGCGGGGGCAGGAGTGACACATACTCTTCACTGCATGCCCTCTTTTGTGCTTTTGGAATTTTATACCATAAACATATATTACCTTTAAGAATCATTACCACTTCATTTTTAGAAACACTCATAGCACTTTCCCAAGATCACCTTGAGGATCCTATTTTGTAAATATAGGGCTTGCATGATGCTGACAAGTGCCATCTAGACCAAAACAGAATGACATGAGACTACTTAAAAAACAAAAAAACAAAAAAACAAAAAAACAAAAAACAAGATTAGAACAGAGAAGGAAGAAGTGGTGCCTCCAGAAACTGCAATATAGTAGCTGTCCAGCCCCAAGAGCCTTGTCTCAACTCTGTTATGAGGGGCCTTGACCAAGTCACCTTGGTCTTTGCCAGCTTTGCAACCTCATTGGGAAATTAAAGCATTGAACAAGATTCCCTTCCAACTGGAAAATTCTAAGTTCAAGAATCTGTGACCCTCTTTGGTGGCTCATTATCTGGCTCTGACTGCAATTCCAAAATAAGGGTTTTTAGAATTAGTTGAAAATCTCTAGAATAATTGTTGGGTCTCTCACAGTAACTCTGTGTGTTTAACATGTGTGTGTGTTTAAAATTTTTTTTAATGTTTATTTATTTATTTTGAAAGATTGAGAGAGAGGGCAGGAGGGGCACAGAGAGACAGTGGTAGAGAGAGAGAATCCCAAGCAGGCTCCACACTGCCAGCACAGAGCCCAACGTGGGGCTCAAACTTACAAACTGTGAGATCTTGACCTGAACAAAAAGCAAGAGTCAGATGCTCAACTGACTGAGCCACCTAGGCACCCCATGTGTCTGTGTTTTGAAAGTCCTATATCAATTTCCTCCCCAGCCAACACTCGGTTTAGAATATGAGCCATAGGAAAAGCTAAGGATGTGGGGGCCCTTTCATGAACCAAGGTCAGCCTACTTCAAGTACATCTGAGTCTGTCCCTAGGGCTGTCATGTCACAAGTCAGCACTGTCCTTACCAGCCCACCTCTCAGCCTACCACCATATAATCTGTTGTACTCTTGACCTATTCATTCCCTAGATGTTATAAGCATGTCTACCCAGTTTTGTTATTGTTGCTTATTTACATGTTGTTTGTTTTAACAGACCCACCTCGCTGCTTTCTGGGCAGGTCAACACAGGGCCTGGTGATTCTTTCAGGGTGCTCCTAGAATCCCCAGAAATCCCACAGAAGTGCCTTGAGGCAAGGGAGGATAATCCATTCCTGATTATTCAATCTTTTTTTTTTTTTCTGGCTAAAACTCTTAGAAAATTAGACTTCATGAGGTAAACTGTGTCACTGAACTTTATGAGATCTTTAATTTCTAATCTTTCCCCCAGTTGGTAAGGGATGAGGAAGCCACTTAGCTAACACACTGCCGAATTCTGTATGCTTTGATGTTTTTCTTCTTTTTTAAAAAAGAAGTGTGTGTGTGTGTGTGTGTGTGTGTGTGTGTGTGTGTGTGTGTGTTTTAAGTAAACTCTACCCCCAACATGGGGCTCAAACTCACAACTCTGAGACCAAGAATTACATGCTCTACCAACGGAGCCAGCCAAGTGCCCATTTTGATGTTTTTCTTAGTAAGGGGAACGGGTGCGTTCCTGGGAAAACCCAGACCTTTACTAATCTGGTATTCCAAGTAAAATAATTTACCACTAATAGGATGCCTGCCATGAGGGCCCACAGAGCCCAGATGCAACACAGCAACTAAGTTTGGCTGCAAGCCCCTGATGAGGTCCTCTTTTCCCGGGGGACACACCAAGTCACAGGGGAAGGCTCTAGCAGAGCCTTCATGGATATCGAATGCCTGTAACTAATGACAACAAGAATAAAGACAACAGGTTTTAGTGAGTCAGGCAATGGATAACAAAGCCACCAGCATAACCACATTCCCCACTGGTAATTCAGAAAGAGTTAGTATTTCCTTCTCCATACCCACCTCGCTGACAGTTAACCTCTATAGCTACACATGCTCTACATCAATGCCAAGCAGACTCCTTATCAACATGCTGATGAAAATGGGCCGCCTTGATTGTGACATAAAATTAGATTAACAAACAAAGGAGAAAGAAAGAGGATTTCTCCCCCAATAGCATCAGTCATCAAATTCAACTCGTTCTCCAGGCATTAAGCAAAGAAAAAAAAATCCAAGTAAGTTAATCACAGGTTAGATGCTACCAAACTGACACGATAAAGAGGCTCTGGAAGGATGCTGAAGTGCGACTGGTTCTGGATTAACACACACGAACACACGCAGGTGTCGGTAGGAGAAACACCTGGTTCCGATCCAGACCATGTGTTGGTGGGAAGAGGTCGCTGCTGGCCTCTCTACCCGACTGGATCAGTTTGGAGTTAGTCACACCTCTCAACGGGGTTACCTGCCCTTCTCTGAGGTCCAAAGAGGAGACAAAATGAAAGAGTCGAGCCACCTGACAAATGGGAAAAGAAAAAAGCCATGGGCACCAAGCCTACAAAACAGGATTGAAGGGAGCCATGCTGTCTTCACCACCTCACTCACTCACTCACTCACTCACTCACTTCCTCCTTCCCTCATTCGAGCGAAGGCAGAGGGAGTGTTCACAAAGGAACAAAGATGAACGTGAAACATGATGCAATCCCTACTCCCAAGGAGCTCACAGTCTAGCTAGGGCATCAAGACACAAATGCACACAAGGCAGCAAATGACAAAGATGACAAAACGTGAGGCAGAAGTTCCAGGGAGGGAGACAGCGCAGCTGGCTGACACCAGCGGAGGTCTCACACGAGAGCTCACACTCAAGTGGAGCCAGGGCTGCGGCACCCGAACGAAAGGGGAACAATACTGCAGCCTCGTCATCTGAGCCAGGCCTGCACTCTGGTGATAGGGCTTCGGGGTCACCAGGAAGGACTCTCCACACACAGCTGACGTCCCTGTCCTCGCACATAGACGTCCACCACAGAGGCTCAGCTGGAAGCTTTGCCTTGTCCAAGCTTCCTCCTTGGAAAGGCAAAGGCCCTGAAGGGAGGTTGATGTGGTGGCGATCCCACTTCCTGGGCTGGGGTGGGGGTGGTGGTGCAGGTGGAAGACAGGAGAGATGTTGCTAAAGGACAATGAGGGGGAGAAAGGACTGGAGCGGGGGCGGGGGGGGGGCGCATCCACAAGACAAATTTGTTCAGCTGTTGGTGAAAAGAGGAGCTACGGTTGTATTTGCAAATGTGCCCATATTATCATAAAAATGATGAAGCTCTAAAGAAACTCTATCTTAAGGTAACATGTATTTGTAACCCAAATTCCTTCACCTAGAATGTACTATATCCTGCATTTGAGTGTTGCCCCAACCTTGCCTCAGGGCAAAGAGGGAGCCTGCTTTGGTGGCATTTGCTGGCCGCCTCTTGTATATTAATGCACCTTCTTAATTCCCAGGGATGTTTGATATAAAATGGTCATGAGAGGAGGCAGACAACCTTGACTGTCTCCAGGGCTGTGACCAATTCTAAAATTCTCAGTGGCAAGACAGTCATCTCTCAGGTACTCAGCCATGTGTTCTCAGGGGCTGGTGATATAACCCAAGTAAATAAAGGTCAGGAAACGTTAGCCCAATTTGTTGGGGGGGGTGGGGCTGGGAGGGGGCCCGGGGGGTGCTTGGAGAGATTCAGGGAAAACGGGACTGGGAACTAGAAAGTCTCACTCTGAGCCCAGCTTGGCCACTAACAGCTGTATGACCCTGGGTGAGCCATTCAACATCCGGGTCTCAGTGTCCACCCCTGAGAAGTGGTGGTGGTGGGGTTACAAAAACGGCATCTAAGGCTCCTGCTGCTCTAGCAACCTATGGGTTTGACATTCCTTCTCTCTTGGGGGAGGGCAGATGCTCACTGTTGTAAGCTGACCCCAGGGACCCACTCACCCCGAGGCTGAAGAGGAGGAGGAAACAACTGTATGGAAAATGGGGCCGAGAGCCACGAGGGACCTGAAGCCCAGGGCTGGAGGGTGGCTTGCCCAGGGAGACACAGCACCAGCAAGGCGGGCCGGGGACAAGAGTGCAAGTAACACCAGATCCTGTGCTCACGCTACCGCACCACAGAGAAAAGACGGGAAGAGAGCCTAGATCCACAGGACAGGGAAATTCAGTTTCCTCTCCAGAAGAGTCTGAACTGTAAAGAGCTTCCCAACACCAGCATCTGACTTGTTCCTTTTATTCTGCTCAACAGAATAACGATCAACCTCAGAGATCAAACCAGCATACAGAAGTGAGTAACAGGCAACCTTTATTAAGCATTTAGTATGAGCTCTGCATTCTTTGAAATCTTTATCTCCATCATCTCATGAGTGTTTTGTGGCATCATGCCTATTTTTCAGGTGAAGAGGCTGAGGCTCAGAGAGGTGCAGCAGAAATGTGGGAGCTGGGGTGTTTAATTGGGCCCTGCTTACCCCCAAAGTCCATGTGTATTGCGGAGTACTGCTCTATAAGCTGTGACAGCTATAAATACGTACTACAGTACTTCATTCCTTTAATATTTACTGAGCACCTACTAGGGATGCAGATAAGATATGAATTCTAGGGGCACCTGAATGGCTCAGTACGACTTCAGCTCAGGTCACGATATCACGGTTCATGGGTTCAAGCCCTGCATCAGGCTCTGTGCTGACAGCTTGGAGCCTGGAGCCTGCTTTGGATTCTGTGTCTCCCTCTCTCTCTGCCCCTCCCTTGCTCATGCTCTGTCTCTCTCTCTCTCTCTCATAAACATAAAAAAAAAAAAGATATGAATTCTAATGATGACAACAGAGTGCCATGTGGGGACCAAGAAGCAAGAGAACAAGTTCCACTTGGAATCAGAAGAGGTTTCCATGGAGACAGTGGCATTTGACCTTGAAGGGTGGACAGGATTTCAAACAGGGGGTGACAGGGGCAGATGAAGGACCAACAAGAGCAGAGGCAGGAAAGAGAAAAGTCTAGAAATAGCAACTCTGTGTGCTATTTCTAGAACAGCACAGAAGGTGGTGCTGTGAGTGCAGTACAAGAGGAGCCATAAAGGTAGGGAGGGACAAGACAGAAAGGCGAGGATCAGAGCTCAAATGGCAAAGGAGGAGAGCAGCAGTGACTATCTGGGTGGCTACTGCAATAGTCCAAGCCAAAAGGAAGGGTGTGGGGAAGAAGGCCTAGAGAAAGGGAAGAGATGTAAAATGGGCAGGACTTGAAGAGTAAGTAGGAAGAAGGAAGAGCATCAAAGATGACTGAGATCTGGAGCCTGGAGTTCTGGAGGGGGTGGTGATTTCATTGTCATCAGAGAGATGGGACACAAGAGGAGGGGTGGACTCAGAGTTAGGAAAATACTAAGTAAAGATACCAAGGAGACAAGGTGAGGAGAAGTTCAGCAGAGAATCAGAAATGCAGTACTGGAGTCCCAGGCAGAGAAGCTAATCTGGGAACCAGGCATCAGGGGACAGCTGAAGGTGAGATGGTCCTGGGAGGGAGAAGAGAGCGAGGTGAGGCCCTGGAGAAATCCCACCCAACACTGCTGAGCGAGGGGAGGAGGAAGGGAGCTAGCAGGAGACAAGAGTCTGGAAGGAGGAGGTGACTAAGAAGGCGCCACATCACCACAGCCAAGAAGCTCTTCCTGCTCACAAGTGATCTTGAAAACGCTTTCTCAGACCTCGTACGTTCAACCAGGCTCCTCTCCAAGACCAGGTAAGCAGGTAGGCTTCTCTCTTCCCACCTGGACCCTTGATGCATCCAGCTATACACAACCTCCACAGGTAAACTTGGAACAGAGAGGGGGCAGGAGACATCCGTGTGAGTTCCTGGCCCTCCCTCTTTAGCTGACTGGTGGCACTGTGTCTTCTGTTGTTTTACTCTCCCTAGCCATCTACCAGGTGGAGTGAGGTGCCATAGTCGTCCCAGCAGAAACACGGGAGAGAAGGGATCCAGGATGATGATGGGGTGTTGAATAATGAAGGCGAACATGGTAGAACCACACTGGCAAGAAGTCTTGCTTGGTTATGATTCAACAAGTTGCAGAGAGCTTAGCTCGGGTGCAAGCTGATTTGTTTGAGAGACTTAGACGGCAGGCAATACTTCCCAACTTTTTCAGCAGGTTGTTCAGCAGTTTAGATAATCTTGGGGTTTAAAACTGGTTGCCATGGTGAAGTGTAAATATTAATTTTATGTCACACTGTCCTTAGCTAAAACAGAAGAGAGAAGGCCAACTTGATGTAACCCAGCGCAATGGCTTCAAAGTGTTCCTCAGCTACTGGATGGAGCAGACACGAGGGTGTGACAGTGAGGTGAGACACAGAGACATGGAGGGGATGGCAGTCTTTTCTTCTTCCTTGGAAATGCTTTCTGAGAATGAGCTGACACAGGGAAGTTTTATAGAAGGAAAATCAATACCTGCCCTCTGATTAATTGTAAACAGGTGGTTTGCACCTAATTGGTATTCAATAGATAGCCAGAAACAAAAAACAAAAACAAAGGCAAGGAAAAATGACTCCAGTCTGGCCAGAAGCTGCAAATCACTGGTTTTATGAGCCTCTGGGAATGAGCTTCTGGTTCCAAAAATAAAGTTTCATGGTGGTTTGAAAGCAGTATTTTTTCAAGCAAGAAGTTTAGATAAGGCAGTGATGGATAAAAGATCAGGATAATAGGGAGGGGACTTTTTTTGTTTAACTATGCCAAAAACTATCTCGTAGAGTTTGTTTTATTCTTAAGGCAAAATCGAGTGGGACTTTAAAAATGAGCAGGGAAACACCACAAGTTGTCTCTCTGTGGCTCTAGTACCCATGTTCAGGTGCCATCCTGTAACCGAGGCTTGGCTATCACTTGGCGGCTGTTGACCATAACTGCAGGCAAAGTGCCTGAGTTTTGGCTGGAAGATTGGGGAAATGGAGGTCATGGCATGAAAGCAGCACTGGGCCAAGGAAGAAGAAATAAAAGCAACACCACGGGTGATGCCATAGGTTGAGTTTCCATCTCCCTATTTTGCTGGTGAACCTCATTTAAGGAGGCCCCACAGTGCTGAGTGGGTAAGAGAGGGGTCCTGTCAAAGCCAGGGCACTGCAGGTGAAGGGGGGAAATAAAGGCAAAGAGAACCCAAGACGTTTCATAGAGGGCTTGGGGCAGTGCTGCCCAAGAGAACCTTCCGTGATGTTGGAAACCGTCTATATCTGTGCCAGCCACCTGCTACCACAGCTGCTGAGGATTGGAAATGGGACTAATATAACTGAGAAATTGAATTTTAAATTTACGTAATTGTAATTAATTCAAATGTAAGTAGCCGCACTGGACAGAGCGGGACTAGAGAATCAAAAACGTTTATTCTTCAGATCAACAAGGTTTGATGAGTAGCTATGAATGCAGAATGCTAAACAAGTAGGCACTGGTTCTTTATTTTGTTTTTTTCTAGGCAAGAAACAAAGGAAAAGAATCTAGAGTCCCTCATCTCCAGAAGCTAACAATATAATAGGAAATATTAGATTCTAGGGAGAAAAACCCATACACAATCTGGGGAAGCAGAACCCCGAATCCACAGCACCCAGAATCCACTGCACTACTTGGGAGCAGTGTCTTAACGGGAGACTTTAACAACAGAAGTGGTACTGGAGGAGCTGTTCTAAGGATCGGATCTCCAGGGGGAGTAAAACAACATTATTTTTCAAGTTATGGGACAAGTAAAAAGCAAGGTTTGTTTACTAGGTCTAAGAACGGGGCAGATGGAAGAGACCTAATACGTGCTTCCTAGTTCAAGAGCGATAAGGTGGCCTTGGACACCTCACAGTTTTAAAACTTTTTATCAATTGGTTTTTCTCCTCATGGTTTCTCTTTCTTGTGAGAATGTGTTTTGTTTATTTTAGAGAATTATTTTTATTTTTCTTAGGTTTATTTATTTTGACAGAGAGGGAGAGCACGAGAAAGGGAGGCTGAGAGAGAGGGAGAGTAGAATCCCAAGCAGGCTTCATGCTGTCAACACAGAGCCCCACGCAGGGCTCAAACCCACGGACCTTGTGATCATGACCGGAGCCAAAAAACAAAACTCAGACGCTTAACCGACTGAGCCACCCAGGCGCCCCTCTAGGGCATTATTTTTAAAAAGAGAGAAAGATTTCCAATTCTAGTCTTTAAAAAACCTGGGGCTCAATTTTCCCTCTGGGTGAAATTACTGGCTGGGAAACACCCAGCTTTGAGGCTCAGAGCCCACTCAGAGACCAGGGACGTTTAGACCGATGGTCCTAGAGAAGGGTGTCCTCAGGAAGGAGACAGAGCAGTTTCATAGAAAGAAAAGATGCATCGACATTTCCCAGGGACAGAAACCCTGGGGAAAACTGGGGGTGGGAGGGGGATTAGTAGTCCTGGAGGAGAAACTTCCCATGTGTAATTGTGTTGTTTTCATTTTTCCAGTTCTAAAATAAAATATCAACGTTAATAACAACTTATATTTGTACAATACTGTTTACAAAGTTTCTTCACTCCTGATGATGCAAAAACCCTGTAAACATCTGTTTCTTTTCTTTTTTTTTTTTTTTTTAAGGAAAGGGCTCAAATACAAGAAAAATTACAAGAAAATAAGTATTAACTAAAAGTGTGGCCACATGTACACCTTAAGCTAATATAATCTTACATGTCAGTTATACTTTAATTAGAAAGAAAGAAAGAAAGAAAGAAAGAAAGAAAGAAAGAGTAACCAAAAGATCTTTTAAGCTCCACACTTTCCTCCTGGGGAGCCCTCAAAGGATGGGGAAAAAAAAGCAGAAGACAGAGGAGAAATGACCCTTCATCTAGTCACCTGATCCCAGCCTCCTTTTATTCTTTAGTAAGAGACAGTCTTTCGGTTACCTCACACTCTCTTGCATGTCCATCTGCCTAAAGGCAGTAGATGTTTAGAGTGAGAACTGATTTGTGAGTTGAGGGTGTTTTCTGGGAGGAGAAAGGTAGGGCCCAGGAGTCGTAAAATGGAGCCATGAGTAGGGTGACCATGGGTCCCTGTTTGCTTGGGCTTGGGTTCGTGTATATGGGTTCCTGGTGTAATTATTCCAGAAAGGCGTACTGGACTGGTTTGGACATTAAAATTTATGGTCACCCTAGTCATGGGTGACTTGGCAAAGTATCTTTTTTTCATAAAATTGCTCTATTCCCGTTATCACCAAGGTGGTTCAGGGCTCAGCTGGGTGCAATGCACTGTGCTGGGCTCTTTGTAGCATTACAAAGAGGGAGAAGAATTTGTATTCCCACCATAATATTTCTCAAGTGGCATGAAGTCTTGAGGAAATGAAACATTCACATTCACACACACACACACACACATACACATACACATACACACACTTCACTTTCTCATTCTCAAGGTTAATGCTTCTAAGAAGCCAAATCTGCATCCCAGGAATGTTAAAGAAGTTAAGTGTTTTAACCCTAATCACCTGTGCATTTCTGGTTCTGGATGGGGCCTCAGGCAGTGACCTGTTCAGAACTGGCTGTTTAACAATCATCCGGGCAAGTTGTTAAAAATACAGATTGAGCCTACTGCCTGAGATTCTGAATCAGCACATCTGAGAATCTATTAAAAAAATAAAAACAAAGCTTCCCAGGTGGTTTGGACATGAAAGCCAGATTTGGACTCACTGGTGAGTCATCATCCTTTGACCCCTGCCTAGAGCGATCCATTGTTGCTGTGGAAACCACTGATTTACTCCTCAGCCAGACTGGATTCCACATCTGTTTCAAAAATAGAGGGCATTATTTTTAGAAGACAAGATGTGTTTTCTCCCTTAAGATATTTATATTTAGAGAGGAAAAGCAAAGCCCCCAAAAGGCAGAAAACTTTCTCATCTGAAACAAACTCAACAGGAAGCGGGCATCCTCACAACTTGAGCACAACTAGAAAGAACTAGTGAGCGGTTATTTCCTGAGGCAAGTTTCAGATTGTCTGGAGCTTCCTTCACGTTTAGTTGTTGTAAGGTGCCCGGCTGGAGGCTTGGGCTCACGGGGTTCCCCGCATGGTCTGAGGGGCTGGTGGCAGCTCGCCAAGATGGTATCAAGACTCTGGAGGCTCCAGCTTGAGGCAGACCTGGAAAAGGATGGCCCTACAGAATTACCATCGGAATAAAATTAACATACACGCAGTTGTATGGCTGAGCCATACACTGAGCCACACTGAGCCAACCTGATAAATATACCGCACTTATGCTCTATGACTGAGCTGAGGAAACAGCAGCACCCATCTTTCTTCAGGCTTCAGAAGCAGAGGAGATGGGGTGGAGAGAGGAACTGACAGAAGGTTTCTGGAGCTTTATGTTGCAAAGTTGCCCTGATGACTTAAGAATTTAGCAAGTCAGAGTTCTCTTATCTTTCAGCTTAAAAAAGGAAAGCACAAAATGGTTACATCTCAAATAGAAGGATCTTGGCATTCGCTGCTCTTTGTAAATCCTGACACATCTCCCTGGGATACCACAGCAGAATGTCCCCTCCAAAGATACTCACTGGGATCCATCACCTTGCCAGCAACGATTGGACTAAGAGGGACACCTCACTACAGTTCTGTGTTATAGAAGGAGCTGGTCCTTCTCTGAATAGGAATCATTCCGTTTTGGTGTCCCTTCTCTTTCTCCCAGCCTTTGTCTGTAGAACTCCTTGACTTCAGGTAGACAGTACTTTTCAAACAAATGTTCAGCCCCAGTGGGTAAGTCTTTCTTCCTACTGTGCTTCTCTTGGGTCAGGACATAGAAAACCCAGCTTGGGCCCCTGATCCTGGCTGTCAGCATGCTCCATCTCACCATCCACTCAGAGCCCATGGAGCACCAAGGTCGGTATCAACTGACCTCTTCCAAAGCCTTTCACAAGTCTGCCCCCTTGCCTACAACCCTCATGCCACCACCTAGGACATATAGCTTCCCTTTGCTCATACAACTCACTTCCCAGTCAGTGTGTCTGCCCAAACATTAGCATAACTGCCTCTCCTCCATCCCCAGCCGACTGTAGACCCCTACTCCACATTTGGACTGGGGGTAAGGGACTGTCACCAGGAAACACAAGGCCATCTCCTGCATTTACTCTGAGGGAAGATGTCTACCAATCAAATTTTTCAGGGCTGAGCACACAATGAGAAATGGACATAATGACAAGGAGAACGTGACGTGAGAAGAAGCTAGAAGGAACACAGAGGACGTGAATGGGGCTGGATGGAAAAGAGAAGTGATGCTTACATCACAGACCAGAGTTTACTCTGAACCTCCTTCAGTGTTAATTGTGGCTGCTACAGGCATCCTCCTCCTCCATGTCTGTACCACTCACCTCCTCTGGGACCCTGGGTTCCTTCCCTCAGGTCAGGTGGGCCACATGAGCTTGGAGCCCACCCACTCACTCAGGTAGTCTCCCCACCTGGCTATTTTGAGTGTAGGTGACTCTCCCAGTGCACCCTGGGAAATTGTAGAGAAGAACTCACTCCCTCCCTTTTCATTTTCTCTTTCTCCCAGGCTTTAGCTCCAACTCAGTCAGAGGTTCTTAATCTGGGACCCACAATGAGTTTCAGGAGCTCTGGGAAACTCTCAATATCGCACACATCATTTGTGCATGTGTGTGCACGCACACACAATTTTCTGGGGGCGAGATTCACTATTTTTTCCATCAGATTTTCAAAGGGACCCCCAAAAAAGATGAGGAATCCCTGATTGGTCCTGAGCCTGCCCTGTCCCATTTGTGTGGGTGAAGCAGGACATGCTGACAGGGTCGAGATCCTCCCATGGTTGTAGTGCTCAGGGCCCCACACAGTACCTTGGAAGCAGCCATCACGGCTGCTGTGGCCGCCACATTCAAGCCCCGCTTCCCAAAGTGCACAAGGGCATCATAACTTCGGTCTTTTGCTTGGACCAGGCAATCATCGATTTCCTGTTGTAGGAAAAACGGAGGCACACTGAGTTGGAAGGTTCAAACAAATCTCTGTTCTTTCTCCCTTCTCGTGAACACTGGGCTTGGCAGCTTGCCCAATCACGGATTCTCACTGGGACTGAAAAGTCACTGGCACTTTGGGGCGTGCGTTCAGAGAGGGGAAGGTAGAAGGGAGAAAGGAAGGAAACAAAAGAGATACAGGGAAGTAAAAAAGGAATTTTGAAAAAACAGCCATTTACCGACCCAGGAAGGTTTCCTTCTAGCAACACCCTACGATTGTTCCTGAAGCCCTCTAACCTCCCAGGGAGGCTCCAGGGGTCCTGGATGTAGACAGGCGTGCCATTCCACACACAGCCATCCTATATGACACTGAAGGAACTGAGGGTGGAGAGAATGCCAAGAATGAAGCCTCTAACCTGAGACCTGCCACTAACTGGTTGTCAGGCTTTGGCAAGTGTTTATTTAGCCTTCTGAAAAATGAGGACAGTGATAGTACCTAATTGGTGGAGCACGGGGAGGATTACATGAGATCATTCCAGTAAAGTATCTAACACAGTGGCTGGTTTCAATGGAGTGAGAACCACTGTCATCTTTCTATCTCAAGGGGATCAAGCCCTTGCAGTTCTAAAATTCTACAATTCTTAAGAAGTGCCTGGGTACTTCAGTCAGTCTGACTCTTGATTTCGGCTCAGGTCATGATCTCATGGTTTGTGAGATCGAGCCCCGCATTGGGCTTTGCACTGCCAGCATGGAACCTGCTTGGGATTCTCTCTCTCCCTCTCTCTCTCTGCCCCTCCCCTGCACGTGTTCTCTCTCTCTCTCTCTCTCTCTCTCTCTCTCTCTCCCTCTCTCTCTCTCTGTCTCCAAATAAATAAACTTTAATAAAATAAAATTCTACTATTCTGTAACTACTAAATACTATATCCAAATACCTCTCCATGTAAGATATTGAGGGGAGATATTAGGACACAGAAAGAGATACTAGTGCTATTTTTGTTGATAAGGGAGATCATTTTACAGATAATGAAATAAAAGCAGAGATGAGAAGTCATGCAGCATCATCCCCAGGGTAAGAGGGAGGTTGGAAAAAGGATTGAAGTCTCTCTCCTTAAGGGGCAAAAATAATGGTTTACTTTAGATCTGCTTCAACGCTGGCTTTTTCTTTCTGTTTGTTATGTTTGGGTTGTTATCACTATTGTAGGAGAACAGCTGTTTTGTAACTTACAGTAGCTCATTTTGGAGTTCAGTAACACAATGACACCTGGCCTCAGGCTCATTTGAAGTTCAGCACATTAGTGCATTTCCTTTGCTTTGAGGCATATCGTGGGTGAGTCAACCCCTGTGCATTCCTGGTTTAAGGCTTCCCCAGGATGTCACCACACTAAGTTTTCATTGTGACCCCTGACTGACTCTGGTAGGGATTCTTGGCAGCTCTTAAGTCAGCCACCTTCACTTCAATGGAAATTAGATTGGTGGCTTCAGGGTGAGCCCAGCATCTGGGGAAAGGGAAACGGAAAGAGTAGGGATTTGACAACCAGGGGAAGAGGGAGATCCTATTCCTCAAAACCCACACTTCTGAGACAGGCAGTGCTGTATCCTAGTTCCTAAAAGGGTTCTCAGAAATGTCTATAGTAGTCTGCTCATGCAATTAACATGTTCCCTCAAAGCTTCCCCTGAGAAGTCCAAAGTACTCAACTTTCAGAGACAACAGAAATTGATATACAAAGCCACCTACAGTGCTCCTATTTTATGTTAAGAATCATATCCCAATCAGTTTAGAAGGTCATGTAATATAATTAATGGATGATACAATATTGGGCTCAATAATCCCACCCTTGGCAATTTATTCTAAGACAAGAAGTTAAAAGAAGACATCCATCTCTATGTATTGTGGTGTTCATGAATCATGAATCAAGATCAAGTACAAACGGCTTATGTGCAAACATGTTTAAGATCTCAGACACAAATATTATATGTATATTAAGTGTTTTTGTTGTTTTTAGGTATTGGGTTTGTTTGTTTTTTTTTTTTTTTTGGTTCACTTAAAATTTTATTTTAAAGAAAGGTTTAATAGACTGCTATCCATAAAAAAGAAGTTACCAAAACAAATTAGTGAGGCAGAGGTAATGGATAATGGACTTTGCATTCATTATTGTATGAAACCTTAAAAAAAAAAACAAAAACCAAAAAACTATAGAACAAGTCACTGAAAGCAAATCCAGCAAATTAAGTTCAGCGGAGATGTTAAACAAAAAAATCATTTTACAGACAGTGACATTGTCTTATAAGAAGCTTAGAATTAAATTTCTTTTCAAGAGATATAAGTTGTAATTCTTACTTGAATTCTTACTTATTACTGACCCTTTCCTGCAATTTTCCCCTGTCTTATTTTTCCCATCTCTGACATTAGACAAATCTATATTTTCATTGCCAAGATGTTTGTGAAGTACTCTGATGCAAAATAAACACAAAAGGTAAACAGCATGAACAAATTATTATGACTGTTCTCATTAGTACTTACCAACCGATAATTACAAAAACAGCAGGGATTCCACTGGTAACACATATTGTATCACTGAACAATAAAGCAACCCTGCACAAGAAATTTATTATCTTCCAGTCTCTGTTGGTAGCTGCCTGGGTACACGCTCAAGGCATTTAATCTCGTTATGCCTCCACTTTTCTATGTTAAGTTTTAAAAGTGATTTTTAATAGTCTATGTAAAAATCAGATCTATAGAAGGACAGGAGCTGAGCATGATAAAAGGAAGGAAATTCAGTTTAGGGAGTTGAATTATGAGCAAATCTTTTGTTGTTTTTTGTTGCAAGGTACGCAAATGTTTTTTTAGCAAGTAATGATAAATAACATCTTTTTGAGGATTTCACCACTATTTCTAAACATGTCAAAAAATAGATTAAAAAGAAGATTAGAAGGAACAAATTGTTGGGGGCAAATACGGGACAATCTAGGGTCCCCTACAATAAAACACTCTGTCCTTTTTACTTATCACTTGTAAATTTTTTACTCGCTGGAAGGAGTGACAAAGGCTTAGCAGCATAAATTACCTTTTCTTTTGAAGACAGCGTGGGATGTACAAACTTCCTGTATAGGAGGCTGGAGCCTTTTGTGTAGGGAGACAGCAGCCAGGCGACAAATGCTATTTTTAGTTCATAATAGAATGGAAACCTGGAGAGAGATGAGAAAATACACGTTCTGTTAGGTTCTCAGCAACACTGCCTGGGCCTATGAAAGACGAGCCCAGCACCTCTCGTGCCCGCCCAAGGCTGCAAGGCTCCCAGATTCCTCCTTTCTCCACCCATGAAGCTATACGCGTACACTTGCAAACACAGAGCAAAAGCCCAAGGCCTCTATTTTTTTTTTAAAGATTTTATTTTTATTTATTTTTAATTTTTTTTAACGTCTATTTATTTTTGAAGGAGAAAGAGAGACAGAATGTGAGCAGGGGAGGGGACAGAGAGAGAGAGAGACACAGAATCCGAAGCAGGCTCCAGGCTCTGAGCTGTCAGCACAGAGCCCAACACAGGGCTCGAACTCACATACCGTGAGATCATGACCTGAGCCGAAGCTGGACATTTAACTGACCGAGCCACCCAGGCGCCCCTAAAGATTTAATTTTTTTAAGTACTCTCTATACCCAACATGGGACTCAAACTCACAACCCCCAGATCAAGAGCCACATGTTCTACTGACTGAGGCAGCCAGGCGCCCCTCAAGGCTTCTTTGGAAAGTCTGTTCTTGTTTTCATTTTTTGTCAAAGCCAGACAGGGATCCAGGTTGTCTCCAGCCATCACCCTGCGGGCTATGCCTGGCAACTGCTCGTGTTTCTTGCAGGGTTCTGCTTGTTTAGGTTGGAGCTGGGGCTCCAGCCACAGCCTGTAGGTTCGGAAGGCCATGTTCCTCTGTGCCCTACATCCAGTCACTCACTCTTCACTTGTGGCCAAGAAAGCACAAGCACCTGAAGGCTTTATAACAGGGAGGAGCTGACAAAGAATCTTCAGACTGAGAATAAAAGCCTCCCCTTCTTGGCTGGGACAGGAGCCAAATTCTTGACAGCAAAAAGGATGCTACTCACCCTGCGTAAGTCGACGGCAGGCAAAAAGGGCTTGATCTTTTTGGTGCCAAAAGAAAGAAGGGTTCAGGGTGCAGGCGACATACAACTCCAGAGTCTGAAGTCCTGCACACTATTCATTTATGCATCACAGAAACACTGACCAGCACCAACAAGTGTCAGCTTGTGCTGAGCACTGTGTAGACAATGGTGAATAAAGAAGACCTGATCCCTGCTCTCTTGGAGCTTTTAGTCTAGCGGGAAACAGACAAGACTTTCTTGCACCCTTGGAACTGATAGTCCAGTCGGGAAAACAGTTTGATCAAATAATCACAAATAATATAGAATAGCAACCTGAGACAAGTGCTATAATGGGTCTCTGCCAGCTCACATGGTGCCTTTGTATATATAAGAAAAAGCCACCCCTCAACTGGATGCAGACCTGTGAGCACACGACTAGTGAACGAGCCTTCATTTGAACTTTAGCCCCACTTGCCACATTGGCCAGGTATCTTGCTCTATGAACAACCTGTGCAACAACACTTGGCTGTCCTGATGTGTACTGATACCATGTCTTTTTTGTTTTCTATATTCTGATGCTTTGACATCTTGGGTCCTTGCTGACTCTGGAGAGGGTGCCCCTCCTGGGATTAGCCAATTCCCAAAGATAGGAAACAACTCGCCCACAAGCAAGCCTTTCATATGCAAACTGACCAATCCAGAGCCCTTACCCCTACCACCTCTTTTGTGAGCTCACACTCTGGGCCACTCTCCAGCTGCCCTCACCATCCCAGGGCCAGGTCCCAGCCACCAAAGGACAGCCCCTTCACCCCAGAGCCCACTGAAATTATTCAGTCCAGCTAATCCTAAACATGTTTACTCTGCCTTGCGTGCTCCTTCCATGGAAACCACAATAAAGGTTCTTGCCCACACTTCCTACTTCTGCCTCTTGACTGACCTCATGGTGTGCTGTGCCTCCAGTTTCTAGGGATCTGTGATTTTAACAAACTTCTTCCTTCATGACAGTCATTTCTGCATCTATGCGTTTTACCATACCTGATTAAAACAAATCCTGGGTACCCTTAAAACATGATACTCTGAGGGAAAAGGACACCTGTGCTAGTCTGAAGAATCAGAAAAGTAAGTTCCTCCCATGTACCTTCTTTCCCAGCCCCCCTTCCCCCACCAAGGGAGCTGAAAATAAAGAGCAATTTCTGGCAAGTCAGTTCCGAGCCTTCAAGTCTCACACAGGACCCCCAAATCAGCAGCTCCACCCACTCTGCTTTCCTCATCCAGGTCTCTGGTCTGTCTTCTTCTGCCTCTGGCAGGCTCTTCCTGGATATTCCCTCAGCAACTCGAGAACACTGTCATGTCGAGATTGTTAGATGTTTCACAGCCATCACAGACAAGAGGCTGAAGGTACAGAGGCATGATTCTCCCACACTTGAACACTCTAGTGATTAATAATGGAGGAAATTTTGTCTTGGAAACAAGTATTTGCCAACCCCAAGGGGAAAGCAAATGAATCTAGCAAGCTCAGGCATCAACACAAGATACACACATAATCCCAAAGGATCTGTCACACGGCAGTGCTTTTGTTGTTTACGTAAAAGATGTGTTTTTTTTCAAAACAGGTAATGCATGCATATATAGTTTTAAAAATCCAAATATCCAGAAGAGTATACAACAGAGAATCTCCTTCCCATCCCAGACCCTTACTCCCTTTTCCAAAAGCAAAATCATTATCAGTAGTAAACTTCAGATGCCTAAGATATAAAATCGTGTGGGTATATATGGCTCCTTTATCACCCCCCCCAAATAAACACATTAACATTCTATAATCCCTTCCCCCCCACCCCCCACCCCAACACGCAATTAACGGTATACTTTGGGGATTATCTCAAACTGCCTCTGGAATTATCGCACCAGGCCCTCATCAGGTATCATAAGGGGCTCCCAGTTGAGCCACTCAGACCCTGTGTTTCGCAGACACCTTGGGCCCACTTGGTTCCACCAATGCAATCACCACCAACCAGGTCACTTTCCAACTGATCTATCACAGTCCCAGCCTTCACCAAGAAGTGGAGAAGGACCCTGATCATTCCTTAATGATTAACCCTTGAACTGTCCAGAACTCTAGGATGTACTGTCTCCCCTAGATGCAGGTGCATAGCTGTTGTGTGTATGTGGGAGGTACAGACTTCCACACTTCTGATGTTACACTTTCACACTCCTGAGGGCTATTTTTTTTCAATTTTATTTTATTTTATTTTTTTTATCGCTATTATTTTTTCCAACCTTATTATCCTTAATATACAGAAAGTTGCACATATTTAATGTATACATTTTGATGAGTTTGGACATAGGCATCTACCCATGATACCACCACCACAGGAAGTACATATGTCCATCACCTCCAAAAGATTTCTGTCCCTTTGCTTTTTTTTTTATTTTATTTTTTATTTTTTAAAATTTACATCCAAATTAGTTAGCATATAGTGCAACAATGATTTCAGGAGTAGATTCCTTAATGCCCCTTACCCATTTAGCCCATCCCCCCTCCCACAACCCCTCCACTAACCCTCAGTTTGTTCTCCATATCTATGAGTCTCTTCTGTTTTGTCCCCCTCCCTGTTTTTATATTATTTTTGTTTCCCTTCCCTTATGTTCATCTGTTTTGTCTCTTAAAGTCCTCATATGAGTGAAGTCATATGATTTTTGTCTTTCTCTGACTAATTTCACTTAGCATAATACCCTCCAGTTCCATCCACGTAGTTGCAAATGGCAAGATTTCATTCTTTTTGATTGCCAAGTAATACTCCATTGTATATATATACCACATCTTCTTTATCGATTCATCCATCGATGGACATTTGGGCTCTTTCCATACTTTGGCTACTGTTGATAGTGCTGCTATAAACATGGGGGTGCACGTGTCCCTTTGAAACAGCACACCTGTATCCCATGGATAAATGCCTAGTAGTGCAATTGCTGGGTTGTAGGGTAGTTCCATTTTTAGTTTTTTGAGGAACCTCCATACTGTTTTCCAGAATGGCTGCACCAGCTTGCATTCCCATAGCTATTTTCTAAGAGGGTTGGACAAGTGATGGAATTGTCAAAATACATGCAATTAATGAATACAGAAAATTTCTGGAAGAGAACACAAGTAACTTTTAACAGGGGTGCCCCTGGGGAGACAGACTGAAGGCCTGGAGAGAGGAGGGACTTACTTTTTGGTGTACTGTTTCAATTTCATTTTGCCATGTGATTTAGTATTTTATAATTGTTAAAAAAAAAAAACTAGGGGCACCTGGGTGGCTCAGTCGGTTAAGCGGCCGACTTCAGCTCAGGTCATGATCTCGCGGTCCGTGAGTTCGAGCCCCGCGTCAGGCTCTGTGCTGACAGCTCAGAGCCTGGAGCCTGTTTCGGATTCTGTGTCTCCCTCTCTCTGACCCTCCCCGTTCATGCTCTGTCTCTCTCTGTCTCAAAAATAAATAAACGTTAAAAAAAATTAAAAAAAAAAAACTAAAAAAAAAAAAACCTAAATTAAATCACCTGTAGAAATTATGAAGCAAGCCACCGTCTATCTGTTCTGTGACCATATATAATTGCTGTTTACATCAAGATAGAAAGTCTGAACTATGAAGAGAAAACTGCTCCAGGGGAGGGGCAGAGAGAGAGGAGTGAGGATGAGTGAGGAGTGAGGGGCCATCTCCAGTCCTGGAAGTGAACCAAAGTTAACGATGCTCCCCAGGAAGCCAGAAGGTGCTTCCAGGAAAAACAGCAATCTCTCTCTTTCTCTCTCATTATAAAGAGAGGTCAGAGCTGCTCAGCTGGTGTCCATATCCCTGAAAGGGAAATAGGGCTCTGTCTGTGTGATCAGCCTGTTCTGCGCCATTCCCAGAGCAAGAAGGAGGAAGGATTACGAAGATTCTGCCGGAAGACAACTATGACCTATAATGGCTGGAGGTTGGCAGAAAAAGAGAAAGCAGTCTGAGGGCATGACCAGGCTGTAGGATAAAGCCAGCAGGGAAGGTTCCCAACCTCTTCCCTCCAGAAGCAGCACTAGGGGGGACAGGAGATGGGCAACACCTTCACTTCCCACCCATAAGCCTCCTGGGCAGCTACCACTAAGATGGGCCAGATGAGGCCTCCACGTGGATCAGGAAGAGAGGGATTCTACCCATACCTGTGCACACATGCCCAATACACCAGGTATCAGAGGCCCTCCTGTGGTAGGCAGAATTTTGGTCCTATGACTTTCTCATTCTGATGTTACTCCCAGACTTTGTTCCCTTAACATGGTAAAAGGGATTCTGAAGATGTAACTGAGATTATTAATCAGCTGACTTTAAAATAGGAAATTATATTGGGTTATTGGGGTAGGCCTAATCTAATAACATGATCCCTTAAAAGCAAAAGCAGAGACCTTTCTCTGGCTGGTAGCAGAAGGCGGAAATTTGAAGCATGAAAAGGATTGACACGCCATTGTTGGCTTGAAGACGAAAGGAGGCACGCCAAGGAAATGGGGACCTCAGTCTTACAGCCACAAGGAACTGAGAATTCTGCCAACAATCAAAATGAGCCTGAAGTAGACTCTCCCCCCAAGTCTCCAGATAAGAGCCCAGACTGGCCTACACCGATTTTGGCCTTGTGAGTCCCGAAGCAGAGGACTTAGTTGATTCTACCTGGACTTCTGACTCATAGAAACTGAAATGATACATTTCTGTGGCTTTAAGCTCCTAAATTTGTGACAGTTTGTTACAGCAGCAATGGAAAGCTAATATACTTCCCAAAATCAAAATCAAATCAACTCCAGAAATAGTTGCTAAGCATTTATTAGGTATGAAACTCTAAAGTTCTGGGGCCATGGGTAAAAACATAGTCCAGCTACCAGGGAGGGGCACATCCATCATTAGACTGGATTTTCACTTAGTCAAAAGCAGTGAGACTGAAATGCCAATGTCCCTGAGAAAGAGCTCGTAAGACTAACACTATTCCCCTTGAAGTTCATGAGGAGGGATAGGAGGACAGGAGGCCGCTCAGCACCAGGCACAGGACATTGTTAACAGGGAAGACTTAGCCATGAGGTGATAGCCATGATGCTTAAATGACTATACAGTCCTTCACTGGGCCTAGCCTGTTGTTCTCATCTCCATGGGACACAGGAGCCTCCCCAGTGCAGCTCTGAACAATATGGGGTCTGACTCGTACTGCCAGCCCCTGGACCTGGGGAAGATGAAAAATAGCTCAGCAGAGCTCTTTCTTCACTCCCAGAGACTCAGCCCCATCCTGAGTCTGTTATTTATCTGGGTGCAGGGCAGTGCAGGATGGCACAAACTTGTTAAATTAGGTAATCCACATTTCTTCCCTACAGCTTGAGGCCACAATGGTTAAGACATCTATTTCTCCCAGTGGAAGTGAAAGCTGGGATCCCTCAGGGAAGAAACTATATACTAAGGTCATTAAGACCACTGATTCAAAATAGGATTCACAGGGGACACCTGGGTGGCTTAGTTGGTTAAGCATCTGACTCTCGGTTTTGGCTCAGGTCATGATCTCATGGTTCTCAGGTTTGAGCCCTGCATCAGGCTCTGTGCTGTGTGAATTCTCTCTCTCTCTCTCTCTCTCTCTCTCTCTCTCTCTCTCTCTCTCTGCCCTTCTCCAGCTTGTGCTGGAGAATAAATAAATAAACTTAAAAAAACAAAACCAAATAGGATTCACAGAAACAGTGTTCAGGTCTGGCCCTTGGCCTGTGACAACCTGGAGAATAAATTCATACTGCTCCTTTTTGGGTATGGACTTTCTCCAAAATGGAAATATTTTTACTATCTTCTCCGACGATAACTGATCATGGTATAACATTCATGCAAAACAGCTAATACAAAACCAACCCCATGATTCCAAGTTGCAAAACTACCTCTGGTTAACTGATGGGTATTCCCAAACTACTTTTAGTATATATTCACATATGTACAGAGAAACCCAGGCCCTTTCAATGTAAATAAGATACTATATATTATTCATAGTCTCTCTCACCTAAGAAGATGCAATATATCAATACATAGACCTAGCTTACAATTTTTACTTGCTCCATTGCTGTAATAGCTGCATTGTTTATAAAGGGAAAATTTTTTTCATCCAAAGGGGATTGATTAAATAAATTATGGTCCGTCTATACCATGAAATTCCATGTGGCCAGTGAAAAAATATGTAGATCTATTTATGCTTATATGAAAGTGTTTAAAAAATAAATTTAATAAGCAAAGTGAGAACCGTTACATATACTATAGTATCATTGTTTAAAAAAGAAAGAAATATTTAAATAAATATTTAAAAAGTATATACAGCTGTAAATAGTTATGGTGAGAGTGAATGGTGTTTGAGAGAAACCCAGTTTTATTAGTTAAGGAGAAACTTTTGTATACTGCTTTTTTTGCCTTTTTTTGACATCTGAATGCTTCTTTACTAACTCCATTAACTGAGGAACTCCTTATTCTGTCCATCATTATACCATTGTATTTTAAGAAAAATACCTGCTCTTATAAAGTCACTGAATAAATATTTACTTGAAGACTTTATAGACTGATTTATTAAAAATATCTCAGTTGGGGCGCCTGGGTGGCGCAGTCGGTTAAGCGTCCGACTTCAGCCAGGTCATGATCTCGCGGTCTGTGAGTTCGAGCCCCGCGTCAGGCTCCGGGCTGATGGCTCGGAGCCTGGAGCCTGTTTCCGATTCTGTGTCTCCCTCTCTCTCTGGCCCTCCCCCGTTCATGCTCTGTCTCTCTCTGTCCCAAAAATAAATAAACGTTGAAAAAAAAAAATTAAAAAAAAAAAATATCTCAGTTAACATCCTGCACTTGCTTTTCTGTTCTGAAGTAAGTAAGGTTTGAGACTGCTTTCAGACCTCTCCCATCTCTCCACTGACACAAGGCAACATCTTCCCTTGAAAAGTCCCAGTTCCTGGAGTAACTTACCAACAGAGGAAGATGTCGGTAAATGTCTCTGCTGTGGTGAAAAGTGCAAATATAATCCAGTACATCATCCATTTGACCTGTTGAAAGAGAAAGCAACAAAGCTAGTAGAAAATGTCAGGGCTAAATGGCCAGCTGCCCAACATCAAGAAGAAGAAGAAAAAGTGGACAATGAGGTATGTTCCGGTAGTGTATCCAGCATTTGTAACCCCTTCTCCCTATTCTTCCATAGCCTGTGTCCAGTTCCACTCCAGGCCTTGGGTCTGGAGGCAAACACACTTTTTCCACAAGTGATCCGGGCTCCAGGTCCAAGTAGTCTCTGGGTGACCTTCAGTAGCTCTCAGGTAAGCTAGGGGGACCTGCAGACCAGGAGTGACTCAGGATTCAGTTAGGCCATTTTTTCCAAGACTAACACCAGGTTAGTAAACTCTCCAGAGTTTACACTGGAGAGACACACTTTGGAAAGAACTTTAACCAGATGAGACTTTCTGGAATGTAATGGTGGTCACTTAAGAAAGCTTTCCTGTGGAAAAGTCTCACAACTCCTCACAGAAACTGGATCTTTTTAAAAAAGTCTCTCCCACATGAACATCTCTATCCATTTCAACTGCCTCTCTTCCCCAGTAGAGTCTTTGTCACCTATCTCCTGAACTACTGCAAGAGTCTTCTAACTGCTTCCTTTGTCTTAGGGCTTCCCCCCGCTCCCACCAACCCATCCTATAAACAACCTCTATACTAATCTCCCAAAACCAAAAACTTATCAGACTACTCCCTAACTTAAAATCTTCCAGACTGAAGAATAAAGTCCAAATTCCTTAGTCTTCTCCTTCTAGTTTCTGGTCATGGTGGAGTGAGGTATTTGACTAGCCTTCCTGCCAACAATGATAACAAACTCTAAACAAAATATTTAATTTTTTTAATGTTTGCTTATTTTTGAAAGAGAGAGAGAGAGAGAGCACAAGTGTAGGAGGGGCAGAGAATGAAGGGAACAGAGGACCTGAAGCAGTCTCTGCGCTGATACCAGTGAGCCCGATGTGGGGCTCAAACTCACGAACTGTGAGATCATGACCTGAACCAAAGTCAGGTATTTAACTGAATGAGTCACCCAGGCACCCCTAAACAAAACATTTAAAAACAACTGTTTGAAGGTACTAGAAAACTATCAAAAGCTGGCAGAAACTGGAAGGGATTCAACTCTTAAAATAAGGAAACCACACCAGGATAGATCCATGTTAATGTGGCTGGGAACAATCCCCAGCTGGCAAATCATGGGGCAGATAGAACTCAAGAAGAAACCCATAGTCCTTTTTCTTTTTCTTTTCTTTCCTTTTTTTTTTTTTTTTTAAAGAGAGTGACATGCACATGTGCATGAACAGGGGAGGGGCAAAAGGAGAGGAAGAGAGAGAATCTTAAGCAGGCTCCATACCCAGTGCAGAGCTGAACACAGGGCTAGTTCCCATGACCATGAAATCATCAGCTGAGCCAAGATCAAGAGGTGGATGCTTAACTGACTGAGTCATCCAGGTGCCCCAGGAAGAAACTCATTATCTTTTTGCCTGAGGAGCTGCAGAATGAAATTTGAGACCCTAGAAATGTTGGAAACTAAGAGGGAAAAAATCACAGACAGGGATGCTATAAGGGGGCAGGACACAAAATCCACATATAAATTCCCTTTAAATATTTGCCTGGCCCATGAATTGCACAGAATCAGGTAATACTCCAAGGTTTCTGAGAAAAAACAAAGATGGAAAGCTGAAAAAGTTGAGCAGAAATTTAATTTCACCCCACTGTAGTAGAAACAGAGTTTGGAGTTCAAGTCCTGCCAAGTTAGAGGAACTTGGTAAACATTTGAGAATTTCCACTGAAACATCTAAAAGGCCATACCTTAGGAAGAAACATTACATCCCAGGACTAAGAGATCAGCTCTAAGACTATGGACAAAACTGAAATACCCTTGCCCCAATAAAATGTAAAATTTAGCTGCCATAAGATCAAGATGAGTTTAACTACATACTAGAACAAAACTCAACATTCTTTACAAGAATGTAACATAACCTTATAGCAAGATTACAGGATATAAGGTTAATATATAAAAGTTAATTGCATTTCTAAACATCTGGACAAATGGAACTTGAAAGTTAAAAAAACAGTATCATTTACATTAGCAGCAAAAAAAATGAATTTCTCAGGAATATAACTAACAAAATATATAAAAGATCTATATGAAGAAAACTACAAACTCTGAAGAAAGAAATCAAAGAAGAGCTAAATAAATGGAGACATATTCTATGTTCAGGGACAGGAAGACTCAATATTGTCAAAATGTCAGTTCCTCCCCAATTAATCTATAGATTCAATGAATCTAAATCAAAATGCCAGCAAATCCTTTTGTGGATGTGAACAAACTGATTCTAAAGTTTATCTGGAAAGGTGAAAGACCAAGAATAGCCAACATAATACTGAAGAAAAACAAAGTTGTAGGCCTGACACTATCTGACGTCAAGACTTACTATAAAGCTACAATGATCAAGACAGTGTTATTGCTAAAGGAATAGATAAATAGATCTATTTTTAGAATAGAGAAATATAATAGAGAGCCCAGAAATAGACCCTATAAGTATAGTTAATCGATCTTTGACATAGCAGCACAGGCAATTCAATGGAGAAAGAATAGAGGTTTTTTTCCCCCCAAATGGTGCTAGAACAACTGGACATCACATGAAATACAAAGATAAGTAAATTAGTAAGTGAATAAGAAAATGAGTAAATAAATAAATTAATGAATCTAGGCACTGGTCTTACAACTTTCACAAAAATTAACTCCAAATGTATCATAGGCCTAAAGGAAGATGCAAAACTATAAAACTTCTAGAAGATAACACAGAAGAAAACCTAGGTGACCTTGGGCTTGGCAATGAGGTTTCAAATACAACAGCAATAGCATGAACCATGGAAGAAAAAAGTTCATAATTTGGACTTCATTAAAATTAAAAACTTCTGCTCTGCAAGACACTGTTAAGATAATTAAAAGATAAGCCACAAAATGGGAGAAAATATTTTCAATACATATATCTGATAAAGAACCCATATCCAAAAATACAAAGAACTCTTAAACTCATAAAAATCTCATAAAAAATAAACAACCCAATTAAAAACTGGGCAAAACATCTGAACACATCACCAAAAAAGATATACAAATACATAACAACTCATTCACAAATCTTTTTTTATGAAACCTAAATTTTTCTTCTGTCACCACTTAACAAGACACTTATCCTAGGAGGACAAGGTAGGATTCAATATTATTTTTCTTGAAAAATATAAATATGTTAAAGAATCTATAGGAAAAAGTAGATATAATGAGTGAAGAGATGAGGAATTTCAAGAGAAAGAAGGAAACTCTTTAAATTTTTTTTTTCAACGTTTATTTATTTTTTGGGACAGAGAGAGACAGAGCACGAACAGGGGAGGGGCAGAGAGAGAGGAAGACACAGAATCGGAAACAGGCTCCAGGCTCTGAGCCATCAGCCCAGAGCCTGACGCGGGGCTCGAACTCACGGACCGCGAGATCGTGACCTGGCTGAAGTCAGACGCTTAACTGACTGCACCACCCAGGTGCCCCAAAGGAAACTCTTTAAAAAGAACCAAATGATACCCTAAAACTGAAAAACAGAATATTTGAAATTTTTTAAATTACTGAACAGAATCAAGAGCAGACTGGATGCAACAAAAGAAAGGATCTGTGAACTTGAGGACAAGATAATAAGTCAGTAAGACAAAAATATAGATTGGAAAAAACAGAGAGGCTCAATACCTATGGAACAGCATCTAGAACTAACATATATGAAATAGGAATTTTCAGAGGAAAAAGAGAATGGGACATAAAAATTATTTTAAGAAATAATGACTGAATTATCCAGAATCAGTCAAAAATAGCAAATCCAAAGAACCAGGGAGCTCAGAAAACCTCAAACAAGATAAATACAAAGAAAACCACAACCAGGAACATCACAGTAAAATTGCTGAAAAAGAAAGAAAATCTTAAGAGGTGGGGGGAAAGACATACTACCTACAGGGGAACAACAATAGATGACTTTTCATAGGAAATGATGAATACCAGAAGAAATAAAATAACATATTTAAAGTGCTGAAAGAAAATAAATCAACCTAGAATTCTATACCCAGCAAAAATATCTTTCAAAAATAAAGGCAGTTCTGGTGAATGCACACTGTCGTTGTGATTCTGAAACATGTGGCTCAAGAGATTATTTAGAGGTCTTCTTTATTCAGAAATATGACTGTCCCCTGGTAACCACCCTGGTTTAATCCATCAAAAGTAACTACTGTCTCAGAGACTATATGTTATCAAGAGTACCTGCAGCAGAACAGGACTGTCAGTAGGGGGCAAAGAAGGTCTTTCCAACTGTACATTTCAAGGCATGCTAGGGCCCAGGATCCAGGAATTCCCAACAATGGTATCCAGATACACAACCAGGAGTCTGATTTCCCCCTCTATTGTCTTTTTCTTCTTAGCACTCAAACCATGCTTTAATATCTTCAATTAAAAACAAAGGTCAATGAGGGGCACCTGGGTGGCTCAGTTGATTAAGCATCCAACTCTTTATTTCAGCCCAAGTCATGATCTCACCCCTTGTGAGTTCAAGCCCTGGATCAGGCTCTGCCCTGGCAGCACAGAGCCTGCTTGGGATTGTCTCTCCCCATCTCTCTCTGCCCAGCCCCCACTTTCTCTTTTTCTCTCAAAATAAATAAACTTTTAAAAAAAGGACAATGATAACAACAATAAAAAATCCCTTTCCTTGAAACAACCCTTAGCTATAAACTTCTCTAGTGAGTCATCTATACTTGCAGTGTCTACTTCCTCATCCTCCACTTACTTAGTGCACTACATTCATTAAATTAATACTGCTCTCACTGGGGTTCCCACTTTGTAACATACTTCAAGGGAGTATAGCTGACCCTTTTTCAGTGTGTTTACTAAATTTGTTTGACTTTCAGATGCATACAAAGCTATCATTTCCTGAAAAGCTCCCCCAACACAACTGTCCTGGTTTCCCTCTTG